ACCATCTGCTTCTCACATTTGAAGCTTGTCTTTGATGATTTTGTATCAGGCAGATGTTAATGATTCTCTGGAAAAAGGAACCTTGAAGAAAATTGCTCCTACAATCGCAAGGCCCAAGATCAGCCTTCGCAGTTTCAGATAAGAAGGAGATTGTCAGAGCCCCAAATTCATAAAATCAGGAAGATTAGTTGTACTAAAACCTTCCTTTCTTAAGCATGCAAACCCCCCCTTCCCAGCAATCTTTTTCATTTCCTTTTGCAACAAAATATTAGTCACTCAAGGACTAATGCCTCTTAAAGCTTCTTTTCCTACATTTCCGTTCTTAATTTGGAACAATATGGGTTCACGTTCATCTACAAGGCCAGAAGAACAGATATGATACTCTGTACATAGAATTCATGAGATCAGAATACCAGGGTCATAGTCGTCCATGAGTTAAAATTTTCAGATATGGTTAGACAAAATCACATTGGCAAATGATAAGAATGTTCTATAAGTGGAAAGAGGAAAAGAACAATACCACTTTTTGTTAATAATTTCCAAGAAACAACAATTTCTTTCATATGCTGATATTGTTATATCACATTAACCTTCGTCTTTCCCTGCAGCTGATGGCTTAGGCTGAATCCTGATCGTTCGTCTGGCATTGAGGCACCATAAAGGTAAGGCCCTAAGTGAGCACCATGTGATCAACCTCAAATTTCAATATTTTGTGTTAGCATCCATGGACAATGAGACTTCAAGAATTATTTGTTCTTTCGATATTGCTATATGAGTAGTTGTAGTTAAAAAAACTATGTCAGGATTTGATTAAAGCTTTTCCATAGCAATTGCAGAAGACTCATGACATGCCATAAATTTCTTTATTTTTGGATAATTGGAAGATTTTATTCCAATACCCAAAGGAAGCACAAAATTCTGCTACATTGTTACAGAGAGTACACAAAGTTCAACTACAAAAGCAAGCAAATCAACACTACTAGTTTAATGTCAAAATCCCATCTATCACACCTATTCAGTGGCTTAGCACCAACTGCAGGGAGGGTGGCTGTTAATTTTTACTCTGATATGCCATAAATTTCAATGGAGAAAAAATGAAGACAAACATTATAACCTGCAATCCTATGGGCGGATTTCTCTGCTTCTGGAAGATGCACAAAATCCAAGAGCTTTGTAAATTGAATGAAAAATGTAGATATATACTCACTTAATGGCAAAGATTTACTATAATTAATGCCAAAATCTGCAAAAAAGAGGTCAGAGATATTATAATGTGAAAATTGATTATGAACTGCAAAATGGGTGAAAAATGAAAAGAATGATATAAATTAAAGATTTGGAAAGATTAAGGATAAGGTTATAATGATCTATGGGATCTAGTATCAAAATCTGCAATTTAAATTCAAGTTTCTGATCATAAGCTCATCACAATGCAAAATTAACATTTTTTTTCTTCTCTGTTTGATTATTGAACATAGTATTATTAACTATACTTTCTTCATACAACATAAAAAATGGTTCCATCTCTACCTATAACCTTATTGCTTGTGGATTTTAATGTCCTGTTTCCATTACTTGAGCAGTTTTACCTTATGTAACATTGCAAGGTTGCCCTTTGTCTTTCTAATATTCGTTACTGCTAGCATGCTTGCTTTATGAAGAAATTAAAGTCCGACTATTCATGAAATCCAGATTAACTAATTGTTGTTTACTTAATAAGAGATCAGTAGCACTTTCTTCACATCCAACCGTCAGACAAAGTTTAAGTCAAGTGAGCTAGGAGTAAATGGGAATTTGAATCCAAAACGATTTGCTATCCAAAAGAAAAAGAAAACAACAACCCTTTCCAGCATCAACAAAAAACAAGGTTCGAGCATCATAATGAGAAAAACAAGAAGTCAGAAAAGATGTTGTATGAAGTTCTTTTCTTTTCTTCTTTTTTTTTTTTGCACTTCATGTCAAGTTCGTTTGACAAGAGAGAACAGTTCTAAAAAGTGCATTTAAAAGAGGATGTTAGATCTAAAAAATGGAGTTAAAAATCAACGAAAATAAATGTTAAAACATTGTAGACCTAGTAAAAATTACACTTGAAATTGTTAAGAAGATGAGATTCAGTCAATGGGTTTGGATTAATCAAAGGTTATATGCTTTGATATTTCTTTTTACATAAAGCTTTGACTATTTAATAAAAAGAAGTGAAGTTGTTTTAAGGTGGTGTCGCAAAATCAAGAAGAAAAATAAGAAAAGCTTGAAAAAAATAGAAAGAAAATGGAGAGTTGGTTGAACAAAAATTGATATGTGATTCGATTGAACTAAAATTTTATCAGCAAGTTTATGATTCAGAGTTCTATATTTTGAACGTTAAAGATCGAGTTTGAAACTCTCTAAGGATAAATCTAAGATATATTTGTTGAGTCACCTACTTTATAAGATTTCTCTAATTGTCTCTCTAGTTGATTATATTTAGTTTTAGTTAGAGAATAACTTTATATATTCATTTTTTGATAGTGAAAATTTTTTTGGTGAGTCGTAATTTTTCTCTTTACACTGAAAAGTTTTTACATAAATTTTGATGTATTTTTTTTATATTTTTTATTATTGATTATTATTTATTACTTTAAATTTATTACTATATGTTATTTTTACATTGTTATGATTATCGCTTTGAAACCCAATAGAAATGAGGATTTTCATTGAATATATCAAGGACAGCATCACCTAATTCTATGGCCTACATATTAAAATCTTAACAAAGCAATAATAACGAAAGAAACTACCCCAAACTGAGTCAAAAAAGGCAAGCACGTGTTTGATCAGTTTAGATCTCATCAAAACTTTGAGAAAAATTCCCAATTAAACAAATAAAACAATTTAAAAGCATATATCAGATTAAAAGAAGAAAATATACCTTTGGATCAGAAGGTTGCAAAATCTAATCCTCCATGAACAAATTTTCAATTGTTTTTCATGGCTTAAGGAACATGAACAACTTGATCCTCATGTTTATAAAATTTGAACCTGAGTCCATGCAAAATTACCCCATTTTAGCACCAAAAAGAGTAAAAGAATTATGTATAACAAATGTCCCTTCTAGAATTGGTAACAAGTAATTAAAAGGAGTACTTAAATGATTGATGAAAACAAATCAATTGTTAAACAGATTGGGAAAAACTCATCTTTAATTCATACAATTTTCTAAGACTAGATAAATGCTTCTAGATTTTTATGGATTGATCCAATCAATCATATAGTATATATATAAACTACTAGTATTATTCTCCCAAGTCTTTGCGATGATTAAGCCTTCATGATCATTTCAACGCAATGATTTCACCGTTTAAAGCTTCATTGGACACATGGTATAAGTATTTTCATCCGAAAGTTACGTTTTATGACTGGATCCCTAGAATGGAACTTAAATTACGTTTTATGATGATCCCTAGAATGCAACCTAAGTTAAGAAGTGGTGAAGTAATATTCTTAGATTTAGTTAAGCTTCCATTAATTAATTCCCAATTCTTTCTTTAGTTCAATTTTTGTCTAAAATACAAGCTTTTATCTTATAATAAAACAATTAGAGTGGTTGAGAGCATGAGACTAGATGGAGACTTCGGAACAGGAACCAGTAATACAACTCTGCATATTAACTACTTCTCACCTAAACATTTATTCATTGGCCATACTACTCTATCAAAGTTTAATTATTCATATCAGTCATCAGATGGGATAGCACAAAACAAGCCTTGATGTATGGATATGACCTAGCCAAAAGAAAACCAAAAAAAATCAAAGACGGCAATTAAAAAAAAAAATTTTCATTGCGGACCTAGCAATAATAAAAGAAAGAAAGAAGAACAAGAAAACCCGTTTTTCTTTTATGATTTTTCTTGAAAATTGTATCAATATTGGTTATGATTTTCTTCTCTTTTGTATTGTAGTTTGAAAATAAAAAAAAAATTATAAATATTAAAATTTAAATTCTAAATTAAATAAATATTATATTTTAAGAATGACTATAAATCAATTGAGCTAATCTTCAAATTCGTTATGATTGCCTTCATTCTCAATATGTAGCTAGCTAGGCTTGTCTGGCCACTATGTTTAATCCTTGTACGCTACTCTTAGATGAAATTTAAGCCAAGAAAATAATCAAGAAACTTAATACTGATTTCTTCCTCAAAACCAATGAAAAAGTATGCTAAAATTTCATGAGTTTATCTAAAATAACTAGGGTTTGAATTTGAACATATCAACATATCAGCAGCATTTAACATGACAGAGATGAGAATAAGTAAATAAGGTTCCTGTTCACACACCATATCGACCAGATCAAAATATACCCATCCACACCAGACACCGCCATAAAAGCTAGCCTTACCCCAAATGTAAATTGGTTTTGTATTACTTAAAAGAAGAAAGATTCTATTTCCAATGACCTGAAGAAAGAAACCTTCTCCTTTGCTTGCACATGAAATAACAACCATAATTTATTGGTTGAGTGTTGTATTGTTAATTTTAGTGATTAAATTTTAAATCATGATTTCCTTAAATATTAAGAAAAAAAAAAAACAATCAAATCTTAACATTCTAGACATTAAACATGAATATTTTATTTTAGCTTCCATCTTAATCCATGTTTACCACTTCATCAGCAGACCAAATCATCATCTAAGCATTTTGTCTTTTACTTGATCAATTATTAAAAGCAATTATTTTCCATTTCGGTCGAATTTTTTTGTCCAAAACAGAACGAATCAGCCAAGAAATGCAAGCAACAACAAAGCGACAAAATATAAATGGTATTAGAAAATTGTGATTACCTCAACCATCGGCCATGTTATCCTAAATTGACTTACTTTTTCAATGAAATCGAAGGGGAAATATTCAACTGTGTACACACCCTTTTGCACAGTCAAAAAGAAACACGTTGCTTCCTTCTTCCATCGTCGAAGCTCCCGTTGAAAAGTCATCAAACTGATCCTATAAGTACCTTTCCACTCTCCACCTTCCACTCTCAAGCAAACGTTTTGAATATCCTCTCTTCTTCAATTCAAACCCACAATTTCGAAAACCTTTGCGTGGTCTTTTTTGAGCTCTGATTTTTTTCTTATTTTTTTCAAATTTTTGGTTATGGAAACAAGCAGTGAAGTATCAAGTGTGCTTCAATATATCAAACAACATTTACTTGATGAATTTTCTCCCGTGGGATTGGGGAGTTTTTCCAGCGAAAATCAATGGATAACTGAGCCAAAACCTGAAGTTTCGACCTCTCAAACTTCGAGCTCTGATTCCTCTCTTACAGTATCCAATTTTAATTGCTTTGACGATGATGATTTCTTTAAATTCCCTCACAAATTCCCTGGGTTCGAGTCAAATGGAAGTGGCGTTTTCGAATTTGAGTCGAAACCTCAAATTATCAATCTCACGACACCCAAGCCCCTCTCTTCAAACGCCTTTGCTTTCAAATTTGAAGTCAAACCTCAAATCGTTGAACTTTCAGCGACAAAACCTCCAATTTATTCGAACTCGAGCTGTCAGAATCGAAAACCGTCGCTAAAAATCTCGTTACCACATAAGGTGGAGTGGATACAATTTGGAAAACAGGATTTAACTCATACAAAGCCGAAGAATTCAAATTCCGAAGACAATAAGCATTATAGAGGAGTCAGACGAAGGCCGTGGGGGAAATTCGCTGCGGAGATCCGAGATCCGAACCGAAGAGGTTCCCGGATCTGGTTAGGAACCTTTGACACGGCCATCGAAGCAGCAAAGGCCTACGACCGAGCCGCTTTTAACCTACGGGGCTCGAAAGCGATTCTTAATTTCCCTCTTGAAGCTGGGAGGTTGGATGCAAGCGCCGTTGACGGAGAGAAGAAACGGAGCAGGGATGATGGCGAAGGCGTAGAAAGACAAGTAAAGTCGGTGAAGAGAGAAACCGATGACCTGCCGAAAGCGAGAGATAACGGTGATATGCCTTTGACGCCGTCAATTTGGACAGCATTTTTGGATTGGGACAAAGACACGAAGGGGGTTTTTAACGTGCCACCATTGTCGCCGTTATCCCCGCACCCCTCGTTAGTCTTTCCCCAAGTAATGGTTATATGATGATTAGTTAGTGTTTGCCAGTCTGAAGTGGCAAGTAATGGGTGACGTGGAATTTTTTTTTGGTTGTATATATTGTTAAATTGTTTTTATAATTAGGCAATGATTTTTGTTGGATTCAATTTCAATTTACTTTAATAAATTTTTTTTCTACACTTTGGATCTGTAAACATATAAAATCAATGCGTGATGAAATGTTAAATTTTTAATTTTAATAATAAATTTGGTGCTCGGTTTTAATCTTTGGTAATCAACTAAAAAAAAACATATAAAATCATTCTATAACTTGGGTTATTTTTAAAATTACGAAAGAGTTAAACCTTTATTTCTTTTTATTTAACTTAATTTGACATAAACATTATAACATCCACATTTGATTACTATCTCCACTATTTTTTTTTTGTTTAAAGTGAAAATAAATCAATAAGTTTTTTAATTATTAAAAATAAAAAATTAATTTTGTATAAAACAATTATGTTTGGGCATATGTGTTGCATTTAATTATTTGAGTACTTTTAATATATAGGATTTTTTTCTCTTTTAATAACTTTGTCATGTAAAAAGTTAATATATATTACTAATAAAAACAACATTAACAAAAATATTTTATGTTAGGAAGATTATTAATTTGAAATTTGACGAAAAAAAATTAATGAGGCTTTGGTTTAGTGACAACTAAGAATTTTAAAATTTTAAAATTTTAAATTAAAATCTCATTAGATATGAATTTGATTGTTTAGTTATGTTTTAATTTATTAATTGATTATTTTATGATTACAATTTAATTTAATTATAATGTAATAATTGATTATTTAGTTATTAATTATATAAATGTAATACTTGAATATGTTTGTAGTTTTTTAAAAAATCCATTATTATTTAAAAAATTGACGGAAAAAGAGATTAATAAATTAATATTATGATCTTTTAACTTCAAATAATAGAAGTCATATCTACTTTGCATTTTTTAAAAATTTTAAAATGTATACTTAATTTTTTTTTTATATTTATTTGATTGAATAGAACATTCTATGTATAAACTCATCAAACTTTCAATCATTAACTCTAATATCATCTAAGTGCTAACTCTACATTCCTATATAGTCTAAAGTACAAAAAAAAAAAAAAATCAATATTAATAGTCATTGCAATGTTCACCTCCATTGAAGAAAAACTCTTGGTCAGTGGTTTTGACTTAAAAAAATGTTATATAATTTGAAATGGCAAAATTTGCATGTGATTTATCTTGAAAAAAAAATATAAACAATACGCCTAGCTATATATATAAAATTAAAGAGTAATTGATAATGGATATGAATGTCATTATTCAAGTGCACTAATAACAATTTTAGATATGGGCTGAAATGTTAGCTATAGATCCGTAGAGGGTATTGTATTTTATTGGCCAAGACGATGATAATATAATATAATATAATTCATGTCAACTCAAAATGGTAATCTACCGTTGAAAATAATTTTCAAAATGAAAAATATTATTGCTGATTAGGCGTTCCGCTTAAGAATCAAAATAGTGGACTTCACATCCATGGATAATAAAATAGAAGGTCAATATATTTTTATTTTTAATAATTTTTAATATAAATAAAAAATAGAGATAAATAAAGAAAAGGTAAAAGTCAATCCTCAGCTGTTTTCGATGGGGCATGACTGAAAATATTTACAAACATGAAAACTTTTCGCTTGGTAGTTGATGATTTCAAATTACCCATTCATTACCACTTACCATTAATACTACCCTTAATGAGATATTTGAAGTTAAATTATTACTCTTACAAGATTTTCATAACATTAATATTAGATTTTTGCCCCCTTTATTTTCAATTTATTTCTTAACTAATTTATTTTGTATTCAATAAATAATAAAATTTTAATTTTAATATTTATAATTTTTTTAATTTTTAAATTATAAATTTTGGTAATAAAAATTTCTACTTTACCTAATATTTTCCATTAAAAATAAAATAACATTGAGAATAACTCTAAATTTTAAACTCTAAAAGTTTAAAAGCAACATTAAACATTAAACAAAGTGCTTTAATTCTTTGAAGTTTGAATGAATCAATAAATTAATGGACTTCTCGACCAAACCAAAGAAAACACCCCTATTCTTTAATCCAAATAATCAAAGTCATCTGAGCCCCCATTCTATAAAATTGGTCTTCTCTCCAATGACTACTTCTTTGTTTGACTTTTAGTAAGACAAAAACACAAGACAAACTTTTTAAATGCTGTGTCGGGATCCTCAGTATTAAATAGTTTCAGTTTAGATGCATGACATATGACATGATCATTTGGTTTGACCAGAATTATGGACTTTGAATTCCTAATGTGTCAGCGAACCTACATTTTGGTCGTTTTTTTGGTAGACCCAACTGTATAGTCTAAGCAAGTGCCCTTGTCTTGAATTTCACCTCGTCAATTATGGCCATCAAATTACTCGGGAGATAAGTAAATGGTCAATTGGACATGTGGGTTTAGCATTAATTTAGACTCGGTAGAAAAGGGTGATTTTTGAATTAAGTTTTGGAATTTTAAACTGTAATCTAGTGAGTTAGTCATTGACTAATTTTATCTAATCTAAAATATGTAAGAATTTATTATACACTGAAAAAACAATTCCACCCTAATTTGCTTCTTATATATTACAAAATTGATTCATAATTCAAGTATATTTTGATTCTTTTCTAAATTATAATTCTTTTCTATTAAAATAAAGATCAACAAAATTTATTGAGTATGAAAGAATTAATTATTTCGTTCGTAATGTTTATATGCAATTTTGATTAAAAAAAAAAAACTTGTGTTAGCGTCATTATATTTTATATGTGCTTGATAAAAGAATTAATGATTAAAATTTTAAAGTCTACAATTATTTTATTCGCCAATTATAGTCCCATTTGTATAACAATACAAAATTAAACTTTAAATTTTGACAAATAATTTATTTGACTTATCATTTCAACTCATTTGAAGATAATTTTCAACCTTGAAAATAAAATGTATTACTTAAAAACTTTTCATAACGAATTCTTCGTATGAAATCAATCGTGTAAAACCATTGATTAAGTTTAATAATAATAATAATAGTTGGTCAAAGGATTTCTCATTTGGTATCAGTACGTTCTATCTGTAACATTTAATTTCATGAAGATTCAAGTCTTCCCTGTTGACCTAGTCCTATTGAATAACACTAAGACAAATCTTTCTCATAAATTGCATGCATGCGTTACCTTTAGTTTACAAATTTGGTCATATGCCATGATTTGACTTTCAACGTTATGGATTTAAAATTGATTACCACAAAATACAAGCTTAAAATTATTAGAAATAATGATTCAAAATTTATAAGAGATTTATTAGAGATTTGTTTGAAATTGATTAAATATTGTTTGATGAACAAAAAAACTTACAGAAGTTGAATTATAAAAGAAAAAATATTTTTAATAGGTAAGTTTATATGGTTATAAACAGATGAAGTTTCTGTAGGACTATGTATAAGAAAAAAGATGTAACAAAATCATAAGATTTTATGAGATAGACACTCCATAAGAGTATTGAAGATTTACGTTTGATGAGTATTTATATTTTAATGTTTGGGAGTGATAAAGATTAAAAAAGCCTACGTAGATATGATATTTTGGTACATATGAATATGTATTTTTTTGTTAAAATAGTGCACATGAATTTATATTTATTTGGGTTAAAAATATTTTATAATATTAGAGAAGATTGAGAGAGCTTATATGTATTGATTGTTAAATGAAATTAATTTGATGTATGTTTATAATTTTTTATAATTAATAAATTTTATTTTGTATATATATATATAAATCAATTGAATCGAATCATATTATATTATTATTTTTTATGTGATTGGTTTATTATTTAATTTTATTTTTCGTTGATGTCGTTAGATTAAGACCTTTTGACCTGATAAAAATTATGACAGTCGATAGGTTAGAAATTTGGTTTGTGAAAATGACCACCCATTTATGACTGCTTTTTGGTTTTTGCGACGTAAGATCCCCATATTTTTCGGTCCAAGAAGACTATCTGTTTTTTTTTTTTTTTTTTTTTCAATCTCTCGTTCTCCTCTTTCCATCCAATTATGCAAAGTTTTTAACACCATTTTTTTCCCAATCGATAAAAAAACATTAAATTAAGTTTGGTTTCAAACGTTACCTTGTATAAGAGGGACTTGACCCATTGATGCAATTTCTGTCGGATGAACTTTTAATGTACCAAGAAATCAATAGATAAAGTCAAACTAACAACCAACAAGTGATAATTGAATTGGAGATTTGATGATTTCAAAACTTCTTCCAAGCTCATTGGCTATATTTGAAGAGAATGATCATTTAAGTATTAGTTTTATACTAACTCTGTTTCTAGAATTTAGAAGTTTCCTTTAGGGGGGATGAGATAAATTTTCAATACTATAATACAAAATAAAAATTTTTCAATACTATAATACAAAAAAAAAATAGTACTATTTAAAATTTTTTTTTTAATATCCCAAGGTTTAAGCTCAAAAATCTTGCCCAAGTCACAAACCTTAAATACAGAAGACAACCCATTTCGAGCCCATATTTTGGTTACTCTATTATAATATAATCCATCAGTTTCACATTATTATTATTGATCTAAGCCACTCAAATCACAGTTTCAGGCCTCTTCCCACACCGTTTTCTTTAATTTTTCAAATTAGAAAGGCTAATGCTTTGATTCAAATAGGGTGTTTTTTTTTTTTTTGGTTACTATTTGTAAATGGTAAGAAAAAATTTCTCTATTGCTGAAAATTGGAAATCTGTTTAGTGATTGGGTATTTAAGAGTAGAGGAAAAGGCTTAGGGTTTGGGCTTTTAGGCTTGAATTTCACGTAAACGGTGATTTGGGCTTTTGCTTTTTCTTGTAGCCCAGAACTTTTTCCGATAAGCCACGTGGAATCATCTTAACCGTTCATCTTATTCGTTCTCTTTCTTTTCCTACCGTCCATTCTCAAATAACCCTAATAAATTTGGATTTCTCGTTGAAGAGATTTATTGGAATCTTGGAATCCCCGCTGTTCTTTCTTTTCTCGTTTCGTCATCCTTTTGTTTTTCGCAGATCTATTCGCCATGGTTTCTCCTCCATGGATTTTGCTTCGAGAATTCGTTAGATCGCTTCAAGATCTGCCTTCCGATACCAGATTTGGTTTCATATGTTGAGGAGAGGTTCCATCCGTTGGATCTACGTCTTAGCCTTCCGTCTGCATAGATCGAAGTCTTTTTCTTGATTTATAAGTTAATTTTATTTTTGTATATAAATCATAAGATGGAAACAAATATTTACATGTTTATTCTCGGCAGGGAATAAAGATCGTTGATTGGTTTGATATCAGAATCCAACATCGAAAGGTGGAGATTTCTTGGCTGGCTAATTTGAGGCGGCTGAAATTGAAGGTTATTTTGTTTTATATTAATCGATGTGGGATATCGAATTTTGTTAGTTGAATGGATGTGTAGGATATCGGGGCAAAGATGCCTGATTTTTCAATGGGCTGAGTCCTGATTTATCTTTGTCCGTCGCCGACCTTTGCCATGACAGGTGCGCTTGCATGGCAGGTCACCCAAATTTAATAAAGCTTTTGTTTTTTTGTGTTTCGGGGGGAGTTCGCACGGGTATTGCCCGGGTTCTCCCCTCTGCTGTGCTTTGTCCCTGTTTTACGCTTTTCGTCTTCTTCCATTATTTATTCGCTTCTGCACACCATGCGGGGTTTGATTCGTGATCACATCATCCTCATAATCGGAATAGCTCATGGACGCCAAACCATTGATCTGCTTACAAATCAGGACGGCCAAAAGGTATATTTTGCATAATTTAATGAGATTCCCCTTTTAGATTAATTGGACAAATTGTAGCATTCGGTTTATCCAAATTTGTTTCCAACATGCGCTGATTATGCTATTAGATTAGTTTCCATATCTGATATCCTGGACAATTTTGCATTAGTATTTCAAGAAAAGCAGGCTTGTAAGCTATATGAAGCTAAACCTTTGACATGGATTGCTTCTTAAAGTTTTACATTTTGCAGATTTATCTTCGTTTTTGATAAACTATGGCACAATTGCTATTTTTAAGTTTTATTTTGAAAAGATATGGATTTTTTTTTATGATTTTTCGTCATTTATTGACCTAAATTAATTGTAGTATTTCCCACAAACATACAGTGATGGGCAGTCATTGACTTTTCACTTTGTTTTCGATAGCGTCTAACTAAAAATCGTCTTGCTTTAGATTTGTCAACATCTTTGATAAAAGCGAATGATATTCCCATAATTTTTTGTAAATTTCCTTTTGTTGAAGGGTAAACAGTTTTTTCTAATTGATTGCTAACTTTAACAGAACTTTTCAGAAGGCTTTTTCTAGTAGATAGACTAGTTGAATCAATCATTGGGGAAGAAGGTAGACTGATGCTCTTGCATTTGCTTTGCTTTGATATGCTGATAGAATAGTCAGTATAATCAATTTGCAGTATCTATAATGGTAGCTAAAAGTGGAATTATTGGTGATGACTTTGGGACAAAGTAGCATTCACAATTACATGAGTCAGTATTTGTTGTCTGTTCGAACAATTGCTGCAGTTCTTGTAATTAATGATGCTTTCCTCTCAATTGCAGTTCTCAACATTTATATCTGTGATACTGCTTCACTACAAAGCTTCCTATCGAACTATGATATTTTGCCAACTCAAAGGTTTCATTGAAAGTTGGAATGTCACTTAGATATTGGTATCTGATCAGACTAATCTACTCATTGTTCATAGACCTTGACTTTACATTATCATTTCTATGATGGTCTTCACTCCTAAAATGTGAATACCTTGGAAAAGGCTTGCTGTTTCTCCTCTATTATTTACATTGTTTTGCCTATCTGCAACTAGCTAATTCAGACTATTGTTATATTATATTATATATTGCAATATTCTATCCTACAGGTGTAGTGGGAGGATGTTATATTGTATGATGAGTCAGTGTATTTGCTTGTGCTAGATCCTATAGAATTTTAGTCTCTTAGTTGGACTCCAATGATTTAGTGCGTTTCTATAAGATTTTGATGGAAGATGTTTTTAAGTGTGAGCGGTTTCTAGAAGAATCTTTTGGATATCAAGTATCAACCATGTCTATATATTTAGGGGGCATGTTCTCTGTGAGGATTATTCCAAGGTTTGTGGAGTGAAGCCAACTGGAAAATTTCTAGGTTTCATCTTCATCTTGCAAGTTAAAAGAGTGACAGCTTTGGTGTCTACTGAATCCTGATAAGGAAAATCATTGCAGCAGCTGCATAATTCTTCTAAGATGATTGGTTTCACATGTACGATGAGAAGAATGGAGACAAGGTGTCTTGATTCTTCCAAGCTGTTGGTTTATGCAAGGCGGCAGTGATTTGATTTCCAAGCTGAGGTTTTGAGTATCTCCTGCTTCGAATGTTCTATGGCAGATTCTTCTTTTGGAGGTACATGTTAGATTTGTATATTCAACTTTTTATGTTGAAAGTTTTTCCGTGGACTATGATCCTGTGGTTTTTCCCCTGATATTAAGGGGTTTTCCACGTAAATTTCGTCTTTCTTGTTAACTTATTTCACAAAATTGATTTTGCTGCTTGTTTTGTAAGTTCGATATATAAGAGTGTTTTTTTCTTCTACGAGTATTCTTTAAACTGTATTTGAATGTAGTAGCTTTAGTTAATGTGTGGGATGGATAGAATGGTATGATAATTATTTTATATTATGTTTAGTTTATATTCAATTGAAAGAGTAAAGTTGACAAGAAAGTTAAGTAAAAAGTATTATTTTTAATTCATGAAATTAAATTTATATGTTTTATTATATTTTAAAAAGTTACATTAATAATTTGAATGGTATAAATTTAGAGAAAGGGTAAATTAAATAATAAATTATTTTATTTTAATATTTATATATAAAAAAATGATGATATTATTTAATATAATTTTATTTTATTTTATTATAATTGTGTATCAAATCTATTCTTAATGCACTAAGAGAGTAATTGAGACGTCTTTTGAGAGAGTAAAAACTTTTTTGCAGCGTTTAATATTGATTTAGTTAGTGATAGTGGGATCATTTGGCGCACAATAAAATTATAATATAATTAATTAATCACGATTTAATACGAAGGATTTATTAAAATTTATCGTGGTGTATATAAGGCATGATAATATGAAACAGGGTATCACTGGAAGTAATTTTATTTTATGAATGCGTACTCGGAATTTGTGGGTTTAAAAATAAGTATGTTTTCTTCCGTTTTTGGTTTTAAAACAAAAAGTTTTTTGTTGTACGAAACTGCTGCATTGTTGATTTCAATGTTTAGAATTGAATTATGCATATGTTGCTTTTTTGTTTTTATTTATGAATTATGGTTAGAAGGAAAGCTCTGTTAGGTGAAAAAGGGTAAAGCGCTCAAATCCGAATAGGGGCTTTGAGAGGGTTGGTGGTTGGAATCCACTCAGATTTCCTTAATTAGCTTAAATCCTAAAATGTTTATAAAAATAAAAGAAAATTACAGCATCATTGTAAAAAGTAAAAGGAAAAAAAAGAAGAAGAAGGGATATATGGTATACGGTAGTTGATAAATTACAAAGCAGTTACATGGAATTATACGTTGATAAAACATTTCAGCAAATAACACAAGTGATAAAACTATTTAATAAGACAAAGGTACAAATACGAGTACTTTCAGTTGTCCAACTTAACTTCAGGGCACCGTTTCATTTTTTTCCTCTTCATTCGATATGGTTTAAGTTCCCTTCTTTTTTTTTTCTAAAAAAAAAATGAAATTGGCAAAAACATTGTCGCATGTCTAAATCACAAAAGCTCAGACATTTTCATATAAGCCAGTCAATGACATTGTGGCAAATTGGCAATATGCCATTGACAATTAGCTTATAACAGCTAGCTAATTTACCCAACCCAGCCAATTATAATTTCTCAAAGAGTCGTTGCTTGCTTGCTTGCTTGTTTTTTGTATCTGAAATCTGGAATTACAGACAATTCCAACACAGAAAAATGATTCTTCCAATGTCATATTGAGTACGGAGACGTTGTTACCATCGTACTATAATAAAATACTACTTGTACTATACAAGTAAGTGAAAAAAAAGATAAGACATTTTAACAGCTTTCTTATACCCATATTTTGGTACAATATGTAAGTTGGAAAAAGGTATAATTTGTGGCAAAAAAGACAGTAATTATTGATTACATAACCCTGTATTTTTTAGAAATACGTGTTAGACTTAATATCAAATTTTAAAAATAATAAATTCAAGATACAATTATCTTAAAAAATAATATTTAATAGATTTAATATTTGAATCTCAAAATAAATAGTGTCTAACTCTATTTTTAAACTATGATTTCACTAATACCAAAATAATAATAATAATAATAAATAACAAGACAAAGTTTAAGGGGAATATCTATTTATTTCATGGCGAGACGAACTTTCTTTCTGATATTTGCTAATGAAGACGAGTGAAATACTGTCTATGGCAAACATGAGCTAAAACAAATAAACAATTATAAGAAAAATATATGCTGAATATATACATCCAATCATAATTGTGTTAAAGTCGTCACCTCAAATCTTTGGAAACAACTAGTTTAACTTTTCTATGTAAATGCTGGCGACGGAGTTGCAGAACATTGCTTTTGTCTCCACATTTTGGCCATTATTTACATCTTTTCTATCGATTCCATGATATCTTGTTTCTGGTGTCAATTTGTATATATACAACCCATCCAGTTTCCGTTTTCAATCACTACTCCCTCTTTCAATTCTCAGGCTTCCATCTTTAAGTGGTTTCATGTGAAAGAAGGCAAGAAATTGCTTCAGTTCTTGTTAGATACTAGTTTTTCAAAATGTGGGTTATTGTTTAATACCTCTGCTTGGTTTTCTAAGACATAGTAGTGAATTTCTAGTTTATATCTCTCTGTTTGTCCCTAATGATTATATTCGATGTTGCTATTGTTAGCCCAAACTTGTCTTTCTTTGAAATGATATGTTGGCTGCAATATCTGTTTCGTGGTTTTTATAACATGAAATAAGTCTTTGGTCGTGTTTGCATGTGAAGTTTGGCAGTTCATCTATACTTACAAAATTATTGCAAGGAAAATGCCAGAAAATCATGAAAATCTAAAATCTTCACAATGTGAAACCCAAGAACAAGCAATCAAAATGGAGATTTTTTTTTCCTTTTAGACATAATGAATAACTCAAGCGACTTCTAATGGTTGGAGTGATCATTATCTGTAATGATAATCTTGTTCCTTTCTTTTCTTTTGGAAGAGAAAGATGTGAACTGATCATATGGAATGTTCTTTATTTGCCAGATCACCTATCTTTGCTTTGATGGTAGGAAGCTGAAAAAGGAGAACTGCAATGGACATGGACAAGGACAAAACAGCAGCTGCCCTTGAAGCTATTAGCAAGGAAACTGTTGATCTGGTACATTTTTTTTTTTTTGGTTCTCCGGTTTTAAAAAGATCCTGTGTTCCCAAAATCTTGTACTTGTTCAGGTTTTATTCAGGGAAACATATCTACAGACTGATTAGGGCAACTTTTGTTTTCCATGATCACAATTACTCGTGTTCTATGAAACAAATCTTTTATGGTAGATTTCCTCTCATATTTGTGTTGACAATAATATCAGGTTTCTAGAGTTTTAGCAGAATTAGGAAAAGATTGCTTCCATGAAAGCTCTGTCAAATATCTATTGTTGTCTCTATTTCTTTGTTCTGAAATAGCACAGGAAACATAGTCCTTTGATTTTCTTGTGGTAGTTAATATTTGATAGAAAATGTATTGAGAGTTTGGAACTTATCTTTTGATGACATCCTGGGACTTGCTTGTTGCAGGAGAACATCCCAGTTGAAGAGGTTTTTGAAAAGCTGAAATGCACAGAACAAGGTTTAAGCTCTGATGAGGTTCAGCAGCGGTTGGAGCTTTTTGGTTACAACAAACTTGAAGAGAAAAAGGTAATACTTTTTTATTGTAAATCTTGGCCTAATTTTCAGAAATAAAATACCTTTAATTAAACTGAGTTTTGGTCTGCATCAGGAAAATAAAATACTCAAATTTTTGGGATTTATGTGGAATCCTCTCTCATGGGTTATGGAAGCAGCTGCTATTATGGCCATCTCTCTTGCGCATGGAGGGGTAAGTCGAAGTCCACTTCAGGAAATGATTTTGCACCGAAACTGAATGTCTGAGACCTTGATTTCAGAATTCCCTTTTTCTTTGCAGGGAAAGGACGTAGATTACCATGATTTTATTGGCATTCTGGCACTACTTATTATCAATTCAACAATCAGTTTTATAGAGGAAAACAATGCAGGAAATGCAGCTGCAGCCCTTATGGCTCGATTGGCTCCAAAAGCAAAGGTTTTTGAAACTTTCCCCTGGCCATTTACCTTTTTTTTTTTTTAATGGATTCTTTTCTCCTTGTTATCCACTATACGTATCAAACTCTTTCTTTTCCTTATTTTGGATACATTCTTCATTGGAAATTAATTGGCTTAATCAGGTTTTACGTGATGGGAAATGGAACGAGGTAGATGCTTCTGTGTTGGTTCCTGGAGATATTATCAGTATCAAACTAGGAGACATTATTCCTGCTGATGCTCGTTTGCTTCAAGGAGATCCTCTTAAAATCGATCAGGTAACAGGCTTTATTTACATACCTCTGCCTTCTTATCACAATTTCTACTCACATAGTTTGATTGCCAAATCATATTTTAAAGGGACTGTGGTTTGGTAAAGTCCGGTTGCTGCTGACCCTAACCTATGGTTTAAGAAATCTGCATTTCTTTTTTCATTTTTGCAGTCAGCTCTAACAGGAGAGTCGCTCCCGGTGACAAAACATCCCGGGGAAGGAGTTTACTCAGGCTCAACATGTAAACAAGGTGAAATTGAGGCAGTTGTTATTGCAACTGGTGTACACACTTTCTTTGGGAAGGCAGCTCATCTTGTGGAAACCACAACACATGTTGGGCACTTTCAACAGGTTAATCTTGCAAAATTCTTTGTAACCAGATAGTAGTCTAAAAATATAGATCCTGGGCAAGATCATATTAGATCAAACTAATAGTCTGATATAGATTTTTCTTTAAGTGTCAGACTTTAACATTTAGAAAACTGAATAAATTTACAATGGTCCTCACATTTAAAGTTTTGAAATTGCTAATTGTTCCATTTAATGAGGCATCATGCTGACTGATTGTTAATTCCAGGTCTTAACTGCAATCGGGAACTTCTGTATATGCTCCATTGCCATTGGGATGTTGATTGAACTCATTGTTATATATGGCCCTCAAGGAAGGGCTTATCGTACCGGTATAGATAACTTGCTCGTTATACTTATTGGTGGTATCCCAATTGCCATGCCAACCGTGCTTTCTGTCACTATGGCAATCGGCTCTCATCGCTTGTCTCAGCAGGTCCACAAATCTATAAGTTTATATTTATTTAGTCTGCCATTTTCTTAATTTCAGTAAAAGATCAACTTATATTCATTCAACTTCTGAACAGGGTGCCATAACAAAGAGAATGACTGCTATTGAGGAAATGGCAGGAATGGATGTGCTTTGCAGTGATAAAACAGGCACACTGACTCTCAACAAACTTACAGTGGACAAAACTTTGATAGAGGTGAGAGTTTCTATCACTTTATTTTCTGGACACGGCAAGTAACTGTAGGGGTGGGAATGCTTATAGCTTAAGGAATATATTTCTTCAAGGGTCAAACTTCACACTAAAAAAAAATGTCTAGCAATATGCATGCAAATATGTATATAAGCGCTAATAGTTTATGAGTGGCTCTTGTAAATAAATGATTGATACTGTTCAGAAAATCCTCTTCGATCTGTTTTTTCCCTGATGATATTCCGCATTTTTCCGATCCATTTCTACTTGTTTGTACTTGAGGCACTATTTGAAAGATTTACAGCGTAAGATTCATATTGTTGTTGTGCAGAATATACTCTATTCAGTTTTATTCAGCAAAGAACTGACACTTTTGAGATATATCAATTCCAACTACAATGTCAAACTTAAATGGATCTACTTCATCATAGGTTTTTGTCAACAACGTTGACAAGGATATGGTTGTTTTGATGGCGGCAAGAGCTTCAAGGTTGGAGAATCAAGATGCTATAGATGCTGCAATTGTTTCAATGTTGGCTGATCCTAAGGAGGTAGCATATCTTATTTAACAAAAAAAATAAGTTTCTACTCCAATTCTTGTTGCACAATATCCTCACATTTTTACTCTGAGGCAGCCTACGATCATAATTGGCGAGTTATATCTTTGGTTGTGGGATTTCTGTGGTGAAAAATAAAATCAAGAATTACAGTACATATTCAATAGGCTCTTCTTTGAAGAAAAACATTAAAAAAAAATCATCACCTTTAAGAACAAGTTCAATAGAAGAGCATAAACCTTAGAATCTCACAAGCCTTTGTAGGAATCTCATTTGGAATATATAGTTTGTTTTTCAAACCTTTGACAATTTCCTCCTTGAGGTAAAGCTTGGTTGCATAGGAGATAGGACAACAACTTGAAATTTATGAGGAAAAACCATTAAGCAGTATGATTGATGTATTGGGGTTTGCTGATTTCTGGCTTTGAAGTGCTTGGTGGCATTGCTATGAAATTTTAGCTCCCTACATTGTAATTCCTTCCTAACTGTTGAAACTCACATTCCAATTTCCATTCTCCATATTTGCATATCTCTAATTAAGTTGAGTTTATCCTGTTGACTATTGTAAGGCACGAGCTGGAATCACAGAGGTTCACTTCCTTCCCTTTAATCCAACTGACAAGAGAACTGCCCTTACTTACTTTGATGAAGCTGGTAAGATGCATAGAGTCAGCAAAGGTGCACCAGAGCAGGTACAAACCATACCACTAATAAACCGAAGTTTCTGTTTTCCGACAGTGCATCATGTAAGGTTGCCTGAAACTCATAAGTTATTGGCCTCTTCTATATGCAACTTGTAGATACTGAATCTGGCCTGGAATAAATTGGATATTCAAAAGAAAGTTCACTCCATAATTGATAAATTTGCTGAGCGTGGACTTCGATCCCTTGCAGTTGCTCGACAGGTACCAAAGCTTTTTACATATCACTATAATATCTTTGAATATCACTCCTTCATTGAGCTAATGGAAGAAGTGCAATTATTTTATATAGGAAGTTCCTGCTGGTAATAAAGATAGTCCTGGAGGACCATGGGAATTTGTTGGTCTTCTGCCTCTATTTGATCCACCCCGCCATGACAGTGCAGAGACCATTCGAAGGGCCCTGGATCTTGGTGTCAGTGTTAAGATGATAACAGGTGTGCATTATGTCTGACTAACCTCCTATCCTTCCCTTCAATAGAATGATTCTTCTGGCAAATGATCTCTATGAGAGAACTTTGGTATTTGCCTAGTGTATGTTTCTTTCCATGATGTACTCACTGCAAACCATTCTATATTTTGCATCCTTTTGCAAAGGACCCTTCCAAAATCCAAATAGAGGACCTATCATATAAAACATATGGGGGAAGATTCTGAGTTTTAATTTTGCTACAATTGACTCAGCTAGGAATCTATTTCACTTGGTTCAATGGTACTGTAGGATCACCAAATATTGTATTCAATTCTTTATTTTGGGATCAATATTGGCATCATAATGTTGGCTATTGGGTTCTTGCTCCAGGTGACCAACTGGCAATTGCTAAGGAGACAGGAAGAAGACTTGGGATGGGCACAAACATGTATCCTTCATCATCTCTGCTTGGTGACAAAAAGAATGAAGCAATTGGAGCTTTACCAATTGACGAACTTATTGAGAGTGCTGATGGATTTGCTGGAGTTTTTCCTGGTAAATATATTTGCTATAATTTCTGAGCTCTATAAATATGCTTTGCATTCCAGATATCTGATTCCATATTTAATGCAGAGCACAAGTTTGAGATTGTGAAAAGACTACAAGCTGAGAAGCACATAGTTGGAATGACGGGTGATGGGGTCAATGATGCACCTGCATTGAAGAAAGCAGACATAGGGATTGCAGTTGCAGATTCCACAGATGCTGCTCGAAGTGCTTCAGATATTGTTTTGACAGAACCTGGTCTGAGTGTGATCATTAGTGCTGTTTTAACCAGCCGTGCAATCTTTCAAAGAATGAAGAATTACACGGTAAAAAGAGAATTTCATTTTATAAGCAAGGAAGTGGAGTTAATATCAAATAATTCAAGTTTCTCACTTTGTATTATCCTTTTTCCAGGTATATGCAGTATCGATCACAATTCGTATAGTGGTGAGTTACCAATATGTTTTTGCCATTTACCCTTTTGTTAGGTACAAAACCATCTAATTTAACTATTATAGTCTTTTTTTTAACATTAAATCGGTTTTTATCTTTCAGTTGGGGTTTATGCTGCTCACTCTAATCTGGAGGTTTAATTTCCCTCCTTTCATGGTCCTAATCATTGCCATTCTTAATGATGGTAAGTGGATACTCTATTGTCTTAGTATTCATCTTTAAGAATGCTTCTTTCTAGTCACATGAATTCCTAATCCTTTCTCTGCTAATTTACTGACAAATGATTTTGTTTCCTTCCAGGAACCATTATGACAATATCTAAAGACAGGGTCAAACCATCACCAGTTCCTGACAGTTGGAAGCTCAAAGAAATTTTTGCTACTGGGATTGTCTTAGGCTCCTACCTGGCCTTAATGACCGTTATATTCTTCTGGGCTGCCTATGAAACTGATTTCTTTCCGGTAATGCAATTTTTGGTTTGATCTCTTTCTATCATAATATTCTTTTGCAAAGATAAAGACCATTTATAGAATTAATTGCAACTAGAACTGCAAAATGGCAACCAAATAAATTGATTTGAAAAATACATTTAAACTTCATTCTGGTTCAGCTAGTGAATTATGCTTAAGGATTAAGGCACATGTATTAACTCTTTCTCTCCTTTGTACCCCAGGATAAATTTAGCGTAAGAAGCTTATGCCATAAGAACTTTAATCTTACAGAAAAGGCGGGCAAAGACAATTTGAATGCACTGTTAGCATCTGCAGTTTACCTCCAAGTTAGCACCATCAGCCAGGCTCTAATATTTGTGACTCGCTCTCAGGGATGGTCATTCATGGAAAGACCCGGTCTTCTGCTTGTTATTGCTTTCATCATTGCTCAACTGGTAAGTCAACCGAAAACTTCAGTTATGTTGTTTTAGTGGATAAAAAGAGGGATAATAACTATTAAAGTGCCCCAAGATCGTTTTCATTTTACAATATTACATGGTACGTGAAAATGGAATGATTTTTCCTATCAACATGACAACTTTGAGTCTGGTGCACATTTGAGTAGAGCCTACTGTCATAATTTCCGATTATTTGATAATTTGTTCATCTTCATTTATAAACCAATTATCTGTGTAGGTTGCAACTGCTATTACTGCTGAAGCAACATGGGGTTTTGCTGGAATCAAAGCTATTGGCTGGGGATGGTCAGGTGTTGTTTGGCTTTACAACATTTTAACTTATGCACTGCTTGATCCCATCAAGTTTGCAGTTCGATATGCACTTAGTGGTAGAGCTTGGGATCTTGTGTTTGACAAAAGAGTAAGTAGACAAAACTTTCCTTACAAAATTCGTTGTTTCAACGGGAATAAGTTCCTCATTGTTGAAACATATATATACACGACGCTGCTTAGTTCCTAAAATGAGCTTCTGCTATTTATTCCCAGACGGCCTTCAACACTCGAAAGGACTTTGGTAAAGAAGCTCGTGAGGCTGCATGGGCCGCTGAACAGCGAACAATCCATGGCCTACAGTCTACGGACTCAAGGATCTTCTCTGAAAAGCACACGCTTAGGGACATCAGTTGCATGGCAGAAGAAGCCAAAAGGCGTGCAGAGATTGCAAGGTATGTTCTCTTTGTTGGTAGAATTATACGAGTTACACTCTACAGAGCCAGCCCTGTTTGCAAATGCTCATGCAAAGACTCAGGAACCAATTCAAGCAAAATTTCTTTTTTCGCATGCATTCAATCAACAGATACATTCAACTGAAACTAACTCCATATATTTCTTTGTTATGTCAGCAGATTAAGAGAACTTCATACCCTGAAAGGCAGAGTGGAGTCGTTTGCCAAGTTGAGAGGTTTGGATATTGATGTCAATGCACATTACACAGTCTGAGAGGGTTACTCTCATGTTCCCAACAGCATTTCGAATATCATTCCTCACTTGTTTTTGTCTTTTTGTTTTGCTTTCTCGAATTGTATCCAACCACTTTCAAGCGGTAGTTTTCTGCCCCTTAATATCCAAAATGAAACTGATGTTACTCAATGATTATGAACCATCAATAAGAACCTGTAATGCCAATAACATCATTTACACTTCCTCCCAAACTATGGTATTGTTATTTCATTATTCTTCTTCTTATAATTGTCTATCATACCATAATTGTAATATTAATCTTCTTATAATGAATCATGCCATGATTCCAACCTATTAAGACATCCTAATCATTGATTCTTTTATTAATTTCTGGCACTGATGGATTTGGCAGCTGGAAATTGCCTGATAGTTTGGCAGAAGACTTGATTAGAAGACATAATGGGAAAATGAAGTTACGTAAGATAGGGCAAAGACTTCAAAATAATGTGGAAATAAAAATTTGTAGAATGAACATGACACATGTTACCGTTCAGCTTTCAATGTCCACTTTTGCATGGTACCGTTTTATCATGACACGGCTTCTTATTCATCACGTGAACAACAAGATTTCAATGTCAATTAATTAAAGTTAATTAAGTTAAAACTCGAGAGAAACATCATTAAATTAAGGTTTCGTTTAATTTCATATTCAATTTCAATTTTATTATATCCCTTTTTTTGCATAACTAAGATGTGTTTTTAGAAGTGTATTTGTCTTTTAAGGTTACCGACAACGATCCACGTAAGATCTTTGATGGTTTAAGGGAAATAAAAGGATATTTTAAATTTCAAAAGTATTTTTTTTTCTTGTGTCTTTTAATAAATTAAGGAAAATATAGAAAATTGAGAAGATTTTAGAGGAAAAAAAAAACATTGGTCGGTGGAGTGAAGAAATTTACTACTTTTCTAATTATGAGATGAGATGAGATGAGTTGGTTTTATTTTAGCACTGCCGACCAATATATTTATGATTTATTGATGGATTTTCATATCTATTTTGTTTAGGGTTGTAATTTGATAGTTTGTTCTTTTTTTAAAATGTTTCGATTTTTTTATTTAAATAATAAAATATTTACTTTCAATTCATTTTCAATTCATATTAGATTTAATTAAATTAAATGAGTTTATTAATGAATATTAAATAAATATATTCATAAACATATTTATGAATAATAATTAAATTACAATAAATAAATTTAAATAAATCTTAAATGAATTTAAATGAATTTTAAAATATAATTAAAATAAAAGATAAAATTATAATTCTATCAGTATTATTATAATCGAACAGCAAATAAATAACGAATAAATGAATTTTAAATAAATTTTAAATGAATTTATTTACAAATATAGGCAAGTCACATAAATCTTTATTTATATTTGATTCATTCATAATCAAATAAAAAAATATTATTTAAAATTATTTATTAAATTTAATAAATAAATAAAAATAAAAAATATGTACACCTCTAATTTTGTTAAAAAGAAAAATTACCTATTGATTTGGGTTGGGCCGATCTCCAGCTAGATGGTATCAAAAGATAATGTTTTTATGCTTTATTACACGTGGAACTTCAACAAAATAACCACATCCACAACCAAAAAAAAAAATTAACATCAACTATTTCATTATTAAAATAATAAATAATAAAATCTCTAAGAAAAATTTAAGAGAGAGAAGGATATTTTATTTTAATGTCAAGATATATAATATGTTTTAAGGAGAATTTAAATTTATAGATTGTTCATAAATAATTTGTTGCTAGTGGTGAAAATCAAATTTAAATTTTATAAATAAAATATTAATGCTTATAATTTAATCAATTTCAATTGATTTTAAATATTTTTTATTTTTTAATCTTTTAAATTACAATAAAAATTGGAACTTGAGAGCCTTAATCTTAAACCGACACTAATCTTCACCTTAGACATCCAAATTTTGATGAGATTATATCGACTGTTGGGTGTGATGTGCACATTGGATGGTCCTGATTCTTTTCACAAAATCCGATGGCTATAAAGAGAGTATAATATTATATTAAAATGTTCCCAAGCAGTATGAGATAAAAACTTTTGCTTAATGCCCAGCAGGCAACCGCGGATCTGAAACTCACGTGCGGTGATGCTATCCACGCAATTTTTAGTTACCAAAGCAAACAACAATAATAATAATAATAATAATAAAATAAAAGAAAAAAGAATGCTACTATGCTGGTTTCCCACGCTCGAGAAGGGTGTGCGGCTCACGCGACAACTTTGAATAGAAAAGCATATGTGTGCAGCGACGTTCATAATTCAATTTTAATTAAATTAATCAAATTAATTGATTAAATCGATTTAATTCAGTTAATTAGTTAATTATCGAATTAACTTTGATTGGTTAACAAAAATGATTTTAAAAAATTTTTATTTTTAAAAATCAAATTAATCAAAATTTTAACCGAAATATAATATAATTCAAATATAAAATAAAAAATACATAAAATAAATCATTTAATTTTATAACTTGTTAAAATTTTTAATATAATACTTTAATAGTTGAATATTTTGTTAGATGATTTTATTTAGTTTGTTTAAAATATGAAAAATTAAGAGTTTAAAATATAATTTAATTTAAATGTATTTATTGTTTCGTTAACCAAAAAAATTAATCAAATTGATCAAATTAAATTCAATCAATTAATTTTTAAAATTCATAAATTCAGTTCAATTAATGAAAATAAAATAATTTAATTTAATTAATTTAATTTTAAATAATTCAATATGAAATTAATTAAATCGATTGAATGAACACTCGTATCACTATAAACTCTACTTAATTAGTTGATGGAGTAAAGCGAGAATTGATGTTGTGTATATAATTACACTTTTAAAGTTTATTGTTGTAGATATTCAGTAAATTAAAGAAAAAAAAAACTTATAAGTGCTAACATGATTAAATTGAATTGAATTGATAAAGATAAAATATTTCATGCATACAACTTAAGTTTCATTTTAATTATCAATTATTTTATTGAATATTTTGTAAATTTAATGTAAATTTCATTGAAATTGGCTGTATCCAAACAGATACCACATCTTTTAGAAATGGAAGAAATATGAGAGAAGACATCATAACAATAACAATAACTCTTATATGTTATCAATAAATGATTGGTTTAATTGATTAAAGTTCGTCTTTTTTTACGAAAAGATATTGGGTTTGAATCCTATTGATGATTACTTGTTTGAGTCATCTCGAATGTATGAACTATAATAAATTATCTTAAATTATCAAATATAATATATTTTATCTTAATTTAAAAGATTAAGTAATTTATCTACTCTTAAATTTTTCTTGAGAACCTTTTATGTTTTCCTAGTAAGAATTGGCTCCAAGAAATTCAGCTTGTTTGACTTAGCAGCTCCCTTCCAAGCACATCACTCTATTTTTTTTATTATATAAAAATTTATTATTTTTGAATCTGTAATTATGTATAAAATTTTTATAAATTTTACGTAATTTTAAAATTTGATTGATTAATTATAATACAATGAAAATGAAATGCTCCCCTTCCACGTTCCCATAAGGCGTGTACGTACCAAAAACAATCCCACTTTGTTACTCTCTCTCTCTCTCTCTATCTTATTTTTGTTTTCTTCCCATAGAACAATTTCAAGATTTTCGTTGCTTCCCTCGTTTTCTTCATTTAGCTGTGAATGAATTGGAGATCTTTTTACAGTTGCTTCCTTCTTTGCTTGTCATCCATCAATCACGGCCCATCTCACACCACATATTCAGCAACATATCAGCCTAGCTGTTTTCTAATCTTTTGCTTCATTTGGATAAAGAAATATAGGCTTATGTGGCTTGTCTCAACCATTAAATCTTGTTCAAGGATTCTAATCATCATGCTTCACGTGTTTGTTTTGTCCCCTCATTTCATTTTCAAAGTGTATTATTCTCTCATCCCATCTCTTTGGTCAATCCGTTCCTTCGGCCAGCGTTAAATTCTATAACTCTTTCTTGTTTTCTGGAATCAATGTTGCTTTGATAGTTACAATTGTTTTGTTTTACATCTGTGACCGAGGATATTTATATTATATTAAGGAGTTGGTACCGTTAAACCAGTGGGGTTGTGGTCGGTCGTCTGAAGTTGTTGAGAGTTTTGGATACTGTCTTAAATGGAGTGCAGCCTTTTTAGTTCAAAGTCGATGCCAATGTCCGAGATAGCACACATGGAAAGGACATATTCAAGCCAGCTTTCGAGTTTCAGGCCACAATTCTGTACTTGCAGAGGTAAATCTATTGGTTTAGCCGGCAGTTTATCAGTCAAGTCGGTCAATATTGTTGTTTCCTTGTTAGATTCCTGAATTTTCTTTTCACTTTCCTTCCTGTTTTCTGTAGTAAAACAGAATACTTTTGGTTTTGTTCATACAAACATAAAGTTCTGGATTAGTTGTCTTGATCTGATGATACTTTGATTTTGTTTAAATGAAAGTTCTCTTTTTTCCCATCATTTTCAGGTATATCTCCAAAGGCTTCTTATTCAAGTACTCCGAATAACACCTATATGCCAAAGAAAGCTCCTAGTCCAGTTGACCAAGAAAAAATTGGAGCAGGAAATTTACTATATCAGATTAATGGAACAAATTCATCTTTGTTCTCGAGAAATATGAGAACACTAGATGCTTTTGATGATGAATATGGTGGAGTCATTGTTGATTCAGAAAGATTACCGGCTAATCCAAACGTCTTTGCTTTTATGCTTCGTTTCTCAATTTCTCACTGGAAGGCAGAGGTAATTAATCTCAGTTCATGATTTTATTATAGCCTAAAATCAAGTTTTGGCTGATAATGCTAAAGACTAGACTAGGCAATGCATTTGATTGATTCTCTTACAGAAAACATGTTCCCTAGCTTTTCAATCATTTTCTTTTAACTATTCTGTCTTGCATAAAACTAGTTTTTGCCTTTAACCACCGTACCCTGTATATTTACATAGCCACTCTTTGATAGCATAACATAAGATGAGAGTAAATTTCTAGTGTATACTTGGGAATTTGCATACTCGCAGCGTTAAAAGAATTCAATTAATCTAATCTGAACTTCTCCGGATGTGCATTTCAGTCATTCTGATTTAATTATGGGCAAAGCAAGTTGCTTTGTGGTATAGCAAGATGAAATCCTATATCCATTTTGGAAATCAACAGTAACTTTAGGATATTTCTGATCTTATGCCATCAAACTGCAGGAAAAGAAGGGAATTTGGCTTAAGTTGCCAGTGGAAAAATCAGATCTAGTTCCAGTTGCTGTCAAGGTATCTTCCAGACAAAAATGGAAAATGGAAAATTCTTTCCCCGTTTACATTCAATAATCTCTAAGATTAGGAGGTTTCTAATGCAGGAAGGATTTGAGTATCACCATGCAGAGAGAGAATATGTAATGTTAACTTACTGGCTACCTGAAGGACCTAGCATGCTTCCTGCTAATGCTTCACATCAAGTAGGGGTTGGAGGGTTTGTCATCAATGACAAAAATGAGGTACGAAATTGGTTGAGCTTGAGTTGATAGCTCATAGCTGTGCAGGGAAAGAACTATTATTTGCATCTATAAAGAACAAGCACGCAAATACAAAACCAATTTGGTTAAATTTGTTAAATTATTCTAATAATATGGACCATACATTTTCTTAAGTTACTTATATAATGTTTTCCAAGCACTAGAAAACCATAAGTTGAACTCTAATGCAAGCATTTGCAACGGTCAATTACAGGTTCTTGTAGTACAAGAGAAATACTGTGCTCCAACATTTACTGGGCTTTGGAAAATACCAACCGGTTTCATCGTTGAGGTATAATATTTCATTGAATTTAATCTGAATATTTTCAAAGTTTTAAATCAAAGAAGGAAAAGAGAACTGAAAGCAAAGAAGCATCTGCTAGGAAGCACAAACAGTAGGCCTTTTTTTTATGCAAATGGCTGGATCTATTAATTAGTAAACTTTTGTTTGGTATGGTAGTCAGAGGAGATTTTTACAGGAGCTGTAAGAGAAGTCAAGGAAGAAACTGGGGTAAGTACTAATTTTCTTCTCGGATTCTATTTCAATCGTCTCGGAATCTCAGTTCAAAGTGTTTAAATTGTCTAATTAGGCTAATTTATTAATACTAGCTACACTTGTTCCCCATTGCAGATTGAAACTGAGTTTGTGGAAGTTGTAGCATTCAGGTATTGCATTACTACTGAGTTTGTGGATGTCACCACTTCAGAGTTCAGACAAAAGATTTTTGTATTGTAACTCAAAATCCATGTAATAAATTTGTGTTATCGAATACTGATATGTGCCTGTAACTCCATCCAGGCATGTGCACAATGTGGCCTTTGAAAAGTCAGATTTGTTTTTCATCTGCATGCTGAAACCTCTATCAACTCAGATTATGGTTGATGATCATGAAATTCAAGCAGCCAAAGTAAGTACCTGGCTAGACTCACCTCCCTCTTCTCATTCTATAGAATGCTTTTCTCTCACCAGTTATTATTAGGGTAATCCACTATTCCAAACGGGATTTTCTTCTCTTTTTAACCACTAAAATTCAGACTTTGATTGATCTGGAAAAGAGTTAGAAAAGCAGTGAGATCGATCATGACTTACTGCAATGAAACAGATTGATTTCTGTTGAATCCTCCTATAAATTATCATCAAGATTAGTTGTGGGCTTATTGAATATTAATTTCTGAATTGGCTATCATGCAGTGGATGCCTTTAGTTGAGTTTGTGGAGCAACCACTAATTCAAGAAGATTGTATGTTCAAGAAAGTCATTGATATCTGCATCGCCCGTCTAGGGAAGCGTTATTGTGGATTATCTGTACATCAATTGGCTTCTAGGTTTGATGGCAGAACATCTTCGCTATACTATAATGTTGTTGACTCACAAAATATCAACTGTATAGGCAACTGAAACAATGCAAGGCGTTGCAAGCAGTGCTCATCTCGGCCCTTCTTGTTGCCCTTGTGGAATTTATTTGTTTTCATTCAACACCAGGGTAAGAATCCAATGGGGCTTCAGATTGACACTACTACCATTTTTGCAAAGAACGCAGCTGATTTATAACCTGTAATTACACATATCTTTCTATCGTAAATATGCCATTGAATGTATAAATATGGTAACTTTTAATGTGTGATTATCTCTCTTTTCTTGTTTCTTATTGCTTGGACTTTCATGTTTCTTTTCCTTCATGATGAACAAAATTTTGGCATTTTTTATGTGAAGGATAATGCACAGAAAAATACTTTTAGGGACCACTGTTGGTGCAAAATTATAGAATTTCAATGGATTTACTAAAATTACATTCAAATGGAAATTAAAGATGATAGAAATTAGAAGATTCCAGAATTGAGGTTGCTTCCCCCTCTTTTTCTGGTAATTTCTAGGTCAACTATCATTAACTTAGGAAATGGGTTGTCAGCTTCCTATGAATCCCATATAAAACATGTTAAAGTGTCTCGTCAATCAGCTTTTGCAATGATTCGATCTTTTATTCTTTTCTCTAAGAAATACAATGTCATGATTAGATATTTCATTGATAATTGAAGATTCCAAGGATTGTTTACATTTGTTATACTTTTCTCGGCCTTGACATGGCATGGAAACGAACCCTATGAACAGCTTGGCGATCAGTCATACCTGAAAAACTTGGGCCGGTTTTGCCCGGAATGCTCGCGGGGCTAATTCAAGTTAGAGGCAAAAGCAAGACAATGCCATGTGTGGAATGCTAATCCAATGTCCTTTGATTGTAGGAAGTTCAGACATTGCTATCCGGTGGGTCAGGGTTCATTATTTTGAGATAAAATTGGTGGTCCTGTCAAGTAAAAAAGCCAAAATGCTCTGATTTCAAAAAAGATTTTGCAATTTGCATACTTCTTGCTGGAAGCTGCGCATTGTTTCAAGCTATAGATTTTGCAATCAAGTCAATGATATTTTCTTCCATGATTTTCGCTCTCATGAATTCCCTTAATCACAATCAATTTACTATAATCCCTGTTGCTTTTCAGGGTAAAACATCTGAGATTTCATTCTGTGTAAATAAATTTTTACTTACATGCCTTAAAATGAAAACCCGAAATCAGGCCATAGTTTTTTTTTATATAAGATTCATTTTAACTCAATTGTTTCCCGTGGCTATCATCTCTAAATTGCTAACATTTCATTTAGATAAATGATAAAATTAATTATGATGAAATTAAAAATAATAATAATTATTATTATAATTATAATTTAAAAAATTTAATTAAAAATTTATATTAAATCTTATTTAAATTTAAATACGATAAATTTAATCACATCACATCAAAAAAACCTAAAATTCAAAGGGATACTAAAGCATGACCACTGGAAACCCCTTTATAAAATTCCATCAGCAGAAAGGGAAGGTTACTTTATTTCTGGAAAGGGAAAAGACTGAAAAGATTAGTTCAAACATTTCAAACAAAATTATCATACTTCAAATTTATTAGCAGAGGTACGTACAAAAAAAGTATGTTTGGTCATATACCAAGCTTATCCAAGGCATAAAAATCTCCATTAAGTAATTATTTTCTAATGGCATAAACAAAATTGGACAAACAAATTTAATAATTTTTTAAATATGATATGATGATATTATATAAAAATTAAAAATATATAAAAATACATAATATAAAATTTTAGCAAAAATTTAAAATAATATATTTTTATTTAACATATTAATATAAATTATAAAATAACATTTTTATATTTTATACATATAAATACAACACAAGAAAAATACATACCAAATCTAAAGGATAGCTAATAAATGTCAATGCAAATTTGTTTGTGCCCCAAAATTCTACAGTGAAGTTTTGGCAACTGTCACATGTCACGTACAAAATTCAGCAATGTTGGCCAAAATATAGCTTGAAAGGTCATAAGAAAGTATTACAAGTAAATGTCATTATAATGACAATTTATTACATTGAATTATGAGAGCTAAAAAAGGGACCATTACTTTAGGTTAGAAATTGGAAAGTATTAATTCCAATATTATTATTATTATTATTTTGCTTTTAAAATTTGTATTCTGCATATATCATATCAAATTATTTATATTTCTTCACTTTTCCATGTTAGCATAGCTTTTATACTTGTTATCCAAAATTTTCAATAAAAAGTAGGAGTAAAAAAATAGGGTAAAACAATAGATATGAACAATTTTTTTGCCGTAAAACATAGATGGATTTATTAATGCACGTAAAATAATTTTATAAAATCTCTTTATTTTTCTTCTGTTCTTGGCCTTACATAGCTACAATTAAGAATGATAACATGTCTAATCGAATGAATTTTTATTCATCCTAAACTTAATTAAATTTTATATTTTTAATATTTAAACTTAATTAATTTAATTTTTTTTATTTTATAAATACTTAAATTTAATCTCGATTTGATTTTATATAAAATTATATTCTATCTAAAATTAATAAAATATTATTTTTAAATATAAAATATAAAAATATAATATTAAATAAATTATTAAAAAATAATATAAATGCTTGGGTGGATTTACCAAAAATCCGCCTCAAATTGAATTCAACTTTTTTTAACAGTCACTCAATTTAACTTAAAACTGAATTTTAAAAAAATAATAATATAAATCTTATAAAATCAAATTAAATCAAAACTTATGGAATTCGAATTTAACTGTCATCTTCCGTTACAATTAGGCAATCATCCAATGTTCACTTATTTATCTATATAAATGCATACACATTGAAAGCAAAGTTTATATCAAATTCGTTAATGATTTAATTAATTTGACTAAAACCTCTAAAACCTAAAAGCAAACAAAAAAGCGATCAAAAGGCAAAGACCGATTAATAGATTAGATTAGAGACAGACAATGATTCTAAATTCTTAATCCCAACCTTTTATTCTTTTTTTGTTTTCTTTTTTACAATTTAAAACAAACAATTAATTAATTAAATTTTGAAACATGAATTAAATAAACCATATGACTTCTATAAGTCCATAATTCTTTTACTTTTTACACCAAACAAATTAATCTTGAACTCCCTTTATCTGTGAAAAACCTCGTCGATTCATTCATCTTCTTTTTTCTCTTTCTAAAGTGAAACAAGGTAGTTGCTTGAATTGAATTACCTGAAAACACTCTCTCTTTCTTCGATCTCTGCCTCAAAGCTGTTTCCTTTAAGCTCTCTTGGTCTCCTCTTCTTAGGTAAGCTACAAAGCTTCAATCTTTTTTTTCCCCCCTAAGAATTTGTTGTTTATGCTTCCATTTCTTGTTCACCATTTTATTTTATTGGGTTTATTGCTGTCTTTCGCTATGTTTATTTTGGAAAATTTGTAGTAGCTAATTTTGTCCTATGTTCTGTTCGGGTTTCCAGGGAAAACTCAGGAAAGGGAAAGTTAATTCCTTTGCCTCTTAATTTTAACTCAAATTGGAACATCCCAACACTCAAAATCTGTTAATTTTTCATTTATTTTGCTTTGAAACCAAAATTGGTTCTTGGGAATTTCTTCATTTTGGGTTTATCTGTTTGAATTTCTACTCATATGACATTATGCTGAGCAGTAGAACATTGTTTGTATACTAAGTGAATTTTGACTCCTTATTGGTACAACCCATATATTCTTTTTCTTGGTTTGGTGCAGAGGATGAGGAGCTTGTGATATAGATTGAAAAATCAAGGCTAGACTTTAAGGGTACAATGCGGTTGTTTCCATCAAATTCGAGTGTGACGAAAGGGCAAAGTAACGGAGGAAGGAATTGCGCTTTGTTGTATCTCAATGTATATGATCTCACACCTATGAATAACTACCTTTACTGGTTCGGGCTTGGGATATTCCACTCTGGGATTGAAGGTATCATTTTTCCTTTATGTTAATTGGGGGTGTTTGTTCTTTTTTTCCTTGTGTGACCTTCGGTTTTGCTGCTCAGATGGATAATGTTGTCTTGAGTATTAAGATGATTGGCATTGATAGTTTTTGTCACTTAGTTTAGTTATTGTTAAGTTGATTGTCATTGCTGGTTTTTGACACTAAGTTTAGTTATTGGATAAATAGCTTTGGACATACAGACATGACAGGATATGATGTGGTTTTTTTTTTTTTTTTCTCAAAACTCTTAAAAAAATATAGAAATGGGATCTAATGGTTCATTAATGTCATCAAACATGTTATGCAATTTAATTCCAATTTAAAGTAACTAAAATCTTAACCTTGATGGCATTAATTATTCTCATTTTGCTAACATCATTGTTTTATGAAGTTTGTCCATAGCCCCCATCTTATGATGATTTGTTATTTATTAGAAGAAAATGTTAATCTTTGACTTTCTCCTGCCTTCTTATTTTCAAAATTTTCTGTGGCATTAACCTATTGTGCCCTATTTGCTAATCAGTACACGGTTTGGAGTATGGTTTTGGAGCACATGAGTACCCTACAAGTGGGGTGTTTGAAGTGGAACCACGAAGTTGTCCTGGTTTCATTTTCAGACGATCAGTATTATTGGGCAGCACTAACATGTCTCGTTCAGAATTTCGGTTATTTATGGAACAGCTTTCAGATAAATACCATGGGGACACATATCATTTGATTGCTAAGAATTGCAACCATTTCACTGATGAAGTGTGCCTTCAGCTAACTGGAAAGCCTATTCCTGGATGGGTAAATAGGCTGGCTCGACTAGGTGAGAAAAATGTCTGCTTTCTTGTTAATGTTATTGAAAAAGCTGTATTGTACTTAATTACTTAAAAAGATGGCTTCTAGTGGCTGTAGATTGCATATTCATATGGCATGGTTATAAAAGTATCTTTCATTGTTAGATATTGCATTAATGCTAGCTCCTGATTGTCTGGTGCTGAGGTTGGATGGTTCCATTAATTTTTTAATGTCTATAATTTCTTCTTCATTTTACAAGGATTTTGAAGGATGGAATGAAGTAGCTCCTAACACTTCTAGGATATGTAGCTGTGGATTGTGTGGTTGATGCAATGCACTTTATCTTATCAGTGAGGTTTTTTGGTTTCAGGTTCATTTTGTAACTGTCTACTTCCAGAAAGAATTCAGGTTACTGCAGTTCATCATCTTCCTGATCGTCCAGCATATTCTGGTAAGCTTCTTCTGGCAACCTGTCTCAAAGGTTTATCATTTTTTTTATACGTTTCACCAAATTTATGCTTATTAATCTGCATTGCTGCAAAAGATGAATATATAATTGGCTTGCAAAATGGTCCAGAAGCTTGGTTACTTCCATCATGAATTCTGACAATGCATTTGCACATTGTTTTCTGGACCCTGAGAACGGTGGAGCTGTTCTGCTAGCTTGGGCTGTGAATAACCTTGTACAAAATTGCATTATATTTGTTGTAATGGGATAAGTAGTCAGTGATGGATCTAAAAGCAATTACTCTGTGGGCTATGCATGCTTTTATATGTTTAAATTTGTTAACTTCTGATCACTGTTGCCTCTTCATATTTTTTATTGAGATATTTTTAAAATGCAGATGATGAGAGATCAGATTCTGCTTCTACATCTTTATCAGCAGAAAGTGAGGAAGAGGATGCGGACCATCATCTGCTGACTACACCAAATAGTGATGTTGTATTTCTCAAAGAAAAGCCAGTGAGGCTTGCGAAAGAACTTCTATGATTTTTCCTCTAACTGTAATTTGTTTTGTTTGTGGGTCTTCCTATTTCTTTTTCCTTCTAGCTTATGGTCCCAAATGCATCAGAGCATATGTCAGATCTCCTCAAGGTACAATGGTGATGCTATTGACTTCATTTTTATTCTAAATCATCATGAACCAACTTATTCCTTTACTACGGTGCAAAGATTTATATTTCTTACAACATGAACATCAAAATCATGGTTGTTACTAGATGCTATTAGATTTGAAATAATTCCCATGTTTTTTATATATCACATTTTGAATGTTGTGCATCCTGGCCAAATGTTCAGATTCTATATCATTAGTTGCATTTCCTTCATCTCCTTGTTAGAAAATTACTATATTCTGGCTTCTTTTGGTCGTCCAATATGAGATCTCTATTTGCTTCAAGGTTTAGTTCTTTTAAGTGTTTTTTTTTTTATTGTGTTATTGCTTGTATGGCCAGAGGGGATGATGTTGTGAACATAAGAATCTGCATTGCTTTGGATGAAATGGATTTAAACCCAATCGGAAGCTGATGTCAGCTTTACCCTGTTAGCTATCGTCTCAAAGTGAAATTTTGGATGTAAACCAACGCAATTCTAGAACAGTAGAAGTGCATTTGCCAATATGCAAAGTTGACTTGGTTTTATGCTAGGACCTATGTTTGTTTTGTGTCTATCTATATTCAAGGTGGTAACAATTATCAGCAGATTCCAAAGAACACTGATATGTACCAAATAAGAGAAGACAAAAATAAGAAAACTTTCAAGTTCGAAGTTTAGTTTGATTAATTCATAAAATTATTTTTAAAAAATAATAATATTTAATATATTTAAAATTTAAATTTCAATATCTGAATTTTTTTACTTTTTTTTAAGATACAAACTTCTTTTATAAATTTAAAAAAAGAAAGAAAACTTTCAGTTGTATTTATAAAAGATAAGAAATATAAAATTTACTTAATATCTATCACCAAAACTCGGGATAAAAACAAAATGAAATATAATCCCAATGAAAAAAATTCAAGTTGACAAAGCATAAGGTTTAGCAAGGATGGTTCCTAAAGTGTTGGAGAAGTCATTCCAAACATTGGAAAATCTAGAAGTCATGACTGACAAGCCATAATGGTCCACACAACTGAAAAGTAAGACAGCAATTTCCAGAATCTACAGGCAATTTCCACAATCTACAGGGATTTATGGACTTTCAACATTGATCAGCTTTCTCTACCAATAAAAGTCTTCTTTTAATTCCTAACTTCCCACCCGACGTTTCCTACCCATTTAACAATCGTGACGGTAAAACATATTTAAAACTTGGAAGAAACCATTCTTCTACGTCAAGTGGAATTTCTTGCTCAAGCCTCGTTGACTTGGGTTCTTTAATCCTTCAAGTCTTCACTTCACACATTTTAAAAACAAATTTAAAGAGACTAAACCTGGTATTCGCAAACCTGATTCTCTCCTCATTGTCTTTGGCATTTTAAACAATGAATACTTCTTCCTTCTTCCTTCTCCTTCTCTCATTAGTTCTTTCAATTTCGGAGGCTTTTGAGGCTAGCTGCCCACCTGCAAAATGTGGTCATGGTGGTTTTGTTATCAAGTTCCCTTTCAGGCTAAAAACCCATCAGCCTTTACAGTGTGGTGACGGTGACCAAGGTTTTGATCTTTTTTGCAGAAACAACTCCACCGTGATTCACTTCCCATCTTACGGTGACTTGGTTGTCGAATCCATTTCTTATGATACAATGAAACTAAATCTTCTTGACCCCAAAAATTGTGTCCATGAAGTTTTTCTGAACCTCAATCTTTCCCTCACTCCATTCCATTACTACTTCGTTTTGAAGAACTATACATACTTCAATTGTTCAGTTTCGCTTGGGCCTTCTGTCGCAGAAATCCCATGTTTAAGTGGTTCTCAACATCATGTTTATACTGTTGAATCTCCTGTTCGTGTGCCGGATTCTTGCAGGATAATAAAAACTGTTGCAATTCCATTTGCATACAGTTCTTATCTTTCTGACAGTAGCTTCGGTCTCGGGCTAACTTGGGAGTTGCCTGAACCTGTTGACTCTAGCTTCCATTCTAAAGCAGGATGGTCCCATTTAGCACAGAAAAAGGGTAACTTCTCATCATTTCTATTTCTTAATATAATAGATAGATTGGCATTTTCAGCTTATGCGTCTCTGCTCAAATTTGGTGATCTTGATGCAACAAATTAAAACAGGCAACTATTAGATGAACAATCTGATTATTTTCAAGTCTATTTAAATGTCAAAATAGCAAGGCAATGAACAGGAAAACAAAATTTCTTCACCATAAAAGATTTATATGTACATAATAAAATTTTGATCAATTTCCACATTCTGGTAACATAACTAACAAAAAGAAAACATTTAACACAGAGTCCTAGATGGTTCAGCAGCTGACACATGGCCTTATTGTTGAGGCCTCTGCTGCTGGCTCTTCTTTTTCTTTATTTCTTTCGGTAGAAGTTGGTGAAAGATTCATTTTCATGAAAAGTCTGAGCAGCTGGGTGGTGTCCTACATGAATGTAACAAAATTATTTATATTATCGCCATGTATTTTTGTATCCACATAATAATGTTTGTGAACAGGTGCCACAAATGATACCAAAAACTCATTGCTGAATTGATGTTGACTGAAGATTTTAATAGTTTTTCTTATGGTTCTATTATTGCAGTCCTAATGATAGGAGGCATAGTTCTTCTAGCTGCGGCAGCAGTGCTGATGAGCGTGAAGATCCTTCGTGCCAAGATAGTGGATTCACATGGAGAGAAGGAAAATCAATTTACAGAGGAGTTAATAGCAGCACAACATAAATCCCCGATGCATCAAAGCTGCTAAAATGATTACTACTATTATATATCACCATATAAATTTAGTATGCAGAGCCAATTGTAGTTGGCAACAATACTTTTTTTTTTCTTTTAGTTAAAATTTTCACTGTCCTTTTTTCTTTGTTGGGTTTCCCATTCCCACTTCCTTTTTCACCAACTCAAAATACAAGTTTATAATTTTCTTTAAACAAAATCCTTTTTCAAGTGTTCATAAGTCCAATATAAGAAGGCTAAATACTATTTGGGCCTACATTGACCCAAAGACTTACATTAAGCTCATAGTCATATCCTTTTTTCTCTTTTAAAATGGGCTTAGACGACATGGGTAAATGAATGTTAATGGGTGAGCTTGCATCCTTTGTCAACTTTTGTAAGTAAAAGTAGCCCAACAATAACTTCAAAACCTAAAGCCCAAAACTTTAAACAATTTGGAAGGAAAAAAGCCTTAGGACTTCTCTTCTCTATGTTTTATTTAAAAATAATAATAATAATCTACTTTAAAATGTTTTTAAAAATTTTAATCTATATAAAAATGTTCACTATTTGATTAAAATTAGATTAATCAATCAAATCAATTTAATTCAAATAATCGATAAATCTTTGAATTAATTTCAATTAATTGTCGAAAATGATTTTGAAAGAATTTTGATTTTATATTATTTTAATTCAATAATCAAATTAAAACTAAAAATAAATGAAGCATTTTTATTTTAGTATTTATTAAAATTTTTAACTTAATAATTTTTTATTTTCATATTTTGTTAAAGAATTTTATTTAGTTTATCTCAAGCATAAAAAATTAAGAATTTAAAATATTATTTAACTTAAATATATTTTATTATTAGATTAATTTTAAAATTAATTGAAGTAAATACGATCAATTAGATTTTAAAATTAATAAATTACATTTAATTAATAAAATAATTTAATTTTAGATAATTCAATTCAAAAATAAAGAAATTATCTAATTAATTCTTAAGTCATCTCAATTTATATTGAGTAAATTTTTTGTAACTCCTACTAATCTTAGAAACTCACTTCTTGATTCTTAACTCATCTCAATTTATATTTATAGTCCAAATTCTCTCTATTTTTGCAAGTCAAACCAACAAGCTTTGAGTGGGATTCTATTTGGATGAACAGTGAGAATGATTATAGTAAGATAGAAAATAATAATAAAATTATTATAGTTATAATTAGAAAAAAATTTAATAAAAAATTTATGTTGACTTGATCTCATTGAAATTGATATTTGAATTTAATTGAAAGTACGATAAATTTAATCTGGTGCGATGAAATCAAACGAGGATTATATTTAAATTTATATTTATAGTTACAACGAATATGATAAAAGTTGTTATGATGTATGAGGGAAACTCAGCTCTAGTTCTGGTTATATTTGCAAAAAATGTAACTTTTACGGCCACAAATCATGCATAACGGAAGTTCCACGACAGATCAACCATTCATTTCATCCTTGTCTCCTCACCGTAGTCCCAACTGCTCATTACCGGTGTCGTGGCTGTGATGAAGAATGGTTAGGCTTCTCCTTCTGTTGTGAAAAGTGTGATTTCTATTTGGGTGGCAAATGCACACTGCTTCCTACTGCAAAATCCGAAGATGCCTTTGATATTCAACATTTCACTCATCAGCAGCCACTCCAAGAACCCAAGGATTGCGGCCAAGTTCGAAGCAAAGCATGTGGGAAAAACTGGTTGAGTACTTTTCCCTCACCCGCCTTTGGTTGCACCAGATGCAACATCTTTTTACATAGAATCATCTGCTATTGAATTAGCTCCTCAATCTCCTGAGATACATCATTTCTCTCCTACCAAGAACCCTCTCACCCTTTCATTCCTTCCTCACAAATAAGAAGTTTGACAGACTTCTCCTAGCCTATCGATGTTCAAAATGTGATTTTAGCCTTTATATGATTGGGAATTTAAGCATTTTGATATTTTTGTCACAATTTTTAGAAATTGGGTTAATGATGATAATGATGATGAAATTGCTCATTCAAAGAGCCATTTTTGTCTATATATATTCATGATGGATTTATACCATATGTAAGAAAGCAAAATGACCAATAAAGCTGTTTCTATCTATCCTTACTTTCAAGATTTCATCAATGATCAACTCTTACGACAAGCAAAGTCTGATCCTCCATTCTTCCAGCAAATAATTAACTTGGATACTCCTTTCATCCACCTTTGTCATTTCAATTTAATTTTCTTTTAAAGGAACAATAACTTTTGTTTTTGCTTATTAAGGTTATGAATTTTATTTCGATTTCAGTCTAAATTTTGAGTAGATTCCTACCTGCTTGAATGAGTCTGAATCTTAAGTTATCAGAGCAAAAAATAAAAATATTTTTCACAAAAAAGAATTAAGATAATGTTAGGTATCACATCAAAGTAATCTATATCATCAAGGTGATTTTATCACTAATAATCTTAAATTATTATATTTGATGTAATATTATAAATTATTCATGATCTTAATTAATTGCATTTGATATTACACAAAAAAAAATCATCTTATATAAAACACTCAAAAATAATTTTATTACTAATAATAAGATTATTTTAAAAAACAACAATTTTAATTTTTATTAAATGAATAATTTATAAGATAAAAATTAATTTTAAAATAATTTTTAAAAATCACTTTGCATGATCAAATTTTTTTACTTTTTTATAAAATTTAAATTCTCCTAAAAAATAATAATTTAATCACTTTCAATAATTTGAAACTATTATCATATAAAATTTTAATTTCTTTTTAAAATTGATAAGATTTTAATCTAAATATTAAACTTCAAAAATAAATATTTTATTAATGAATCACGTAATCAATGAATATAAAATTCTCAAATTATTATCAAATAATACTATAATTAAATTACTTTTAATTTTAAAAAATCACTGCACACCAAACCCGACAAAGGAAGGTAGACTCGTTCACACCGATCCCAGTCCGCTAGCTACAATAACAAAAACAATCGATGCATACATAACTATGATTGGTGAATTCAAGAAGCGATCATGACGCGGCACACTCCGACAAATAAATGCGTCCCATCAGATTTATGACTCCGTGTTTTTCTCCTCTTTTTCACCAATCACAAGCCTCCAGACTCCTATTTCTTTTCCAACCACGACAAACTGCTTCCTTCAAATGTTCGTGGAACCAAAACCCAAATTATAAAAACAGGAAACAAAAAATCATATCAGAAAAATGAAAAATTTCATGGCCTTTCCCTCTAAGTTCATTGCCTTTATTTCCTTTCTTGTATTTACAGTCACCCCATTTTCTCATTCGATTCCCTTCATTGTTCTTCATGGTAATTCTCTTCTTTTTCATTTCATTTTCCAATCACTCTGTTCCTATATCAAGCTTAAATGTTTCTGGGTTTTTTTTTTTTTTTGGTTTTTTGTGCAGGGATTGGAGATCAGTGTTCCAATCGTGGAGTCAAACAGTTCACTGAACTTCTCACCAACTTTTCTGGCTCTAAAGGATATTGCTTGTATGCTTCTTCAGCTCTCTTTATTTTCTTTTCTTTCCTTTTTACATATTGACTTGGTTTTCCTTTTCAATCGTGCAGAGAAATTGGAGATGGGACATGGGATTCCTGGTTTATGCCTCTGGAAAAACAGGTAAAACTTAACATGGCAAATATTCTATGAAGTAACTGTCAGTTTGGATGAGACATTTATTATTGTCTGGTTTCTTCTGTAACGAATTTTGTTGCTTGTTTTCAGACAGCTGTGGTTTGTGAGAAGGTGATAAATCTTTCTGGGTAATTCTTGGTTTTCTTTTGTTGCTCTGAGTTTTGGAGTTTGTGCTCCCTTTGACAACAGTTTCTTATCAACAGGTGAAGGAAATGAAAGAACTGAGTAAGGGTTACAACATAGTTGGGCTCTCCCAGGTAATTTTTATTTAAAACTATTGGAATTGCTTAAAATTTTTAACATAGTTGAATGCAACCAATTTCGCGTGTATCTCAAATCTGTGTCGATCTTTTGGTTACTTCTTTAGTTTGACACTGAGGCAACTTCCTTATATGGATTGTCAACGTTTACTTGGTTTAACAGGGTAACTTGATAGGCCGAGGTGTTGTAGAGTTTTGTGATGGTGCACCTCAGGTTAGAGCCAGCTTACCCTAAAACTATTTGTTTTATCTCTGTCTCAAATGATTAGCTAGATGTTGCAGAATATTATGAACTTTCTGCACTTTATAAGGCGGTTTAAGGGAAATGGATAACTTCTTGATTATGTATATAATGAAATTTTACACCACCATTAATTAGTTGGTCACTGTTTTTTGCTCTTTATTACAATTTCTTTTCCAAATCATCATGATTTCAATGGTCAGCCACATTTGGATGATCTTAATTATGCCCTCGACTTTTGGAACTATTTCACTCTTCCCCTTTTCTGTGTATTAAATGTTGGGATCTATAATCAGGAACTGAACTCTATGTTGAATATTCTGGGAATTCTTTATTCATATGAACTGGATTTTCTGGACAACTTTTCTGCCTCTGAATGATGAAACAGGTGAAGAATTTTATCTCTTTAGGAGGGCCTCATGCTGGTACTGCTTCTGTTCCTCTTTGTGGTGTAAGTTTCCCTCTACTCTTTGAAAGATATCAGATATAGAGAGTAACTAAAAATGATTTGGCATGTATAAAGGCTACTTGTAAGATCTTTATATGATTATAAGATGGCACCACTCTTGGTGTGAGAAACTAATGCGCTTCTAGTTCCATACCTGGGGAAGGCTGCGTGCAGTCCATTTCATCTGTCGATTCTGAGAAACTGAGCATATCTTATGAAACTTCAGTTTAATATGGCAAAACCTTTAACTTTATTATTGCCTTCAAATTGAATCTTGCGCATAATAGTTACAAGATTGAGCAGCTGGTTAATCAAGGTTCATCATTAAAATCAAGGAATACTAAGGATCTTGGGTCTTAACGGGTTTTTTATTTTTTGATTTTTTGGGATAAATTGGGTCTAACAGGTTCAAACTAAAAGAGCTGATTTGATTGACTGGGTGCAAAAGAACCAACCGTGTGTTTTCAATGCTTACTTTCTAACTCTAGCTCAAAGGCTTTCCTCTGTTTTCTATACATTAGGAAACCACTGACCAATATGCAATGCATCGTGATGTCATGAAAAGTATTTCTCAACATGAATCTGTCTTGAACTAAAAGTATTATAGAATAATTTTACTGGTAAAATGACATGGTAGATCATGGTTTTAGTCTATTTGAAACTCCTTTAATCCTATCAGTAGCTGTAGCGTATGCTGTTGAAGTGATTCTTGTACTATTGCAGACTGGTATTCTGTGCCTGATTGCAGACAAGCTGATCAAGTCAGAGATATACACCGACTATATCCAAGTAAGCATCTTCTCTCTGAGGCTTGACAACTCATACACTCATCTTTATTCATGCTTTTGAGGAACAATGCAACTTTTGATAGAATTAGGGTACACTCCTACTGTATATAATTTCAGGTATGTGATTGACATTTTGCAGGCTCATTTGGCTCCAAGTGGTTATCTAAAATTACCAAATGTGAGTAGTATACATTGCTACCTGGAAAATGTGCGCCATAATCTAGTTATTAACTGGTTGAAGTGGTTGTACAGCTATTACTCATCAAATTATACAGAAGTCTGATACTTCATGATCCAAAATTTTCTTTTATGTTTAATAATTGCTTTAGATATTGTTTTCAAGTGATTAAAATTTGTACAATCATGTCTAAGTTTGAAATCATCTTTTAATTTCCAGGATATACTTCATTATTTGGGAAAATGTAGATTTCTTCCAAAGCTTAACAATGAACTCCCTGATGAAAGGAATTCCACTTATAAAGAGAGGTTCACTCGCTTGCAAAACTTAGTACTTATCATGGTAAGCTAAAAAAACGCCTTTTGGCTTTTCAATCCTAGATTGGTCCACTAGCTTTTCAGTTTTTTTTCCTTTTTTCTTTAATTCTCTTAAAATATGCAAATTTATCTGTTAATCTTGCTCATTCTACTCAAAACAGTTTGAGCATGATACTGTTTTGATACCAAAGCAAACCTCTTGGTTTGGATATTACCCGGATGGTGCCTTCAAGCCCGTGATTCGTCCTCAAGAGGCACAGTATTCTTCCCTTCAAAAGTTCTTTTTTTTAATATTATGATTGAAATTTATCTATATTCTTTGTTCTTATATATGAAAATTGCTCCCCTCTGAAAGTTCATCTTTCTATGTAAGTTATTGAAAATAATCTATATCTAAGCTCTTATAATTTGTACCCCGCATGTATTCTCTACTTCACATCTTAGATGACAATGACCATCATTGAACTAACAAAGCTTAAGTTCTCCAAAGACCAAAAGTACCCTCTTCTTGTTCTAATGATGGAAACAACCACTGTATTCTGGTGTGACATATTGTGATTTAAGATTGATTCGTGTGGCCATTAGGGGTCACATATTAGAAAAGAGAAAAGAGAATGTTCAGTGGGAAAGAAGAAAGAATCCTATTAGACGTGGCTGAAAATGTGTGATGGCATACTTTCTTCAGTTTCCCACCAAGTATTGCTGTTTAGAGCCTTTAAACCATTCTTAAAGCACGATTTTTAATTTGAAGTGAAGAAAACTGGTCAAAAGTTATTACATGTGCCAATGGATGCGATCTCTTGCATTGAGTTTTGACAACTTTTAGATTGCTCTAGGAACTTGGATGCAAATAATAGAAAACATTGCTGGCAATCAGACACCTTTTTTATCTAATTTCTCTATAAGATAACATGCTGCAATATAAATTCTGATTCTAACATGGAGAAAGTCGGAGTACGTCATACTATATTTTATGTTGTTGATGTATAAATTTGAATTACGGCCCAATTCTCATCAAGGCTAGCAAAAAATTGTGGCTAGATCAATGTTTTACAATATGCTCATTTATTTTCTAGTTTAATTGGGAGCTTAGTTTGCTTTACATGAATAATATCATCACCTATGCAGACAAAGCTTTACACCGAGGACTGGATTGGTTTAAAAACCTTGGATGATGCTGGAAGAGTCCACTACATTAATGTCACAGGAGGTCACCTTGGAATCTCCAGAAAAGACATGAAAAAGCATGTTGTACCTTACTTGAAGGATCAAGCATCAATGGTGGATAGCCTTCAAAGTAGTTATGCCGAAGTGGATGGATCTCATCACAGGGCCAAGCTAAGCGGAAAGAGAAAACAAGCAGTGCCTTTGTTGCAGGACAAAGCATCATCCAAACTCATACTTGATGGATCATCATCCTACCACTGGCCTCCTTCAGTCCAAAGCTTAATGAAGGAATTACTTGGACTTGCAGAAGATTAGCCTTATATTTATTTTTTATTTAGAGAGTAATATTTGAATTGAATTATAAATTCAATAGAGATCATCAATGATCATCTAAAATTATAGTCTTACCGGCTTGCCCTTAATACCTACCACTGTAATATTACCAGAAAAATTCTGCCAACCTCTTATCATCGCAGTTTGGGCATATACGGTCATCGTGATGGAAATCTGAACTGCATAATATGAATTGCACTTGTAAGAATAAACCTGAATTCTTAGAATCATTAGATGAAAATTGTATAATTTTCAAACCATTTGGTTTCTTGAGATAAGCATACTACAGGCAGATGAGACATGGTTTATCTTAACTGTAACCTTTCAGCTCAAGAGTAGATAACTGATCAAGACGCATGACCTGGCAGCTAAACCACTGCATTGCAATCATTTCGTGTGGGTTAGGATCCCAAGCCCAGAGAAGCCCTTTATTAGGTCACGAACAATACATCCATAAAATATAAGAATATATACACTTGATCCTTGTGCAGTTATGCTCTATCCTTTGTTTGATTCATAAGAAATAAGAACTCAATTACAAAGGAAGAACAAACGCAGTTTCACTTCAGCCTAAAGAAACATTATTCGCATTTTATGTATAAGGGAAGATTAAAAGTTAAGACAGACACCTCCAACATCTTGCGTGTTGTAATTGCAGTTTTTCAGTAGACATGGATGTCCACCCTAATAGTACCTCCCAGGCAGCTGCTCTCCGCAGAAAGATTCTGTGCTGAAATCTGTGCTTGGCATCGTAGCCACAAACATGAGATTCTTGCCAGTGCTGCCTGACCAGCAACTCTAACTCGATAAACCACACTTAGATCAGCCCATATTGCACTTCTCATAGCACCTGATTCAAGACTTTGGTCATATCCATCAAGATCAGCTTCGGTTACCATTACTACAGTACCATCATCAAAAGGTACAAGGTCTCGTGAAGGTGCCAAGTCTGAAGTTCTTAAAATTAAATCTGCCATGTGGCTGTGGAAACCAACCTTCCTTACTTTAAGATAGTAAAACTCCTGAACAGCCTGCAATTGCAACAAAGAAAGAGATAAATCAAATCTATTGTTTCAAAAAATTTCAGTTTCTATTAAAACAGATAGAAGTATGGATTCATTATTCCTGAAATTTATTGCAGAAAGTGAGACCTAAAACATTATACCTGCCATTGAGAAGAAGCTAAAAGCACCCTTGGCCTGATCGACCTCACATAATCATATGCCGCAGCAGGTGTCATCTCCTTATAATATACCTATGTAAAACATAAATTCAGATCAATGAATCTAGAACCAATAAGCAATATAACCTACACTTCTTTAAATGGCACTAACCAGGTAACATAATACAATAGTTGTGCTGCGGCCACGACCAGCTTTACAATGGACATATGTAGTCTGCCCGTGTGATGCATTTCCTTGAGAAAAAAAAAAAATCAGTGAACACTTCAGCAAGGGAAAACTAAATACAATAGCATGGAGAACCATTTGGAACAATGTCTCTTTTCTTTAAGAAAAAGGTCGTTGGAGGATAAGTTTGACCAAAATAACCAAATGCCTCCAAGTACACTTACGATGAATGAAATCAATAGCTTGGCATATTGATGTCAATGATGGTGCAAAGCAGTAGTCTCTTGTAGGGATCACCAAATGGTTAATGCCATGATTCTACCAAAAAATTGTGGAAAGCAAATTAACTACTTTGGCAACAATGAAAGGATCCAAGGTACACAGCTTTAAACACAAAAAGATTAAAAGATTATTTAAATGGAATTTTTAGTCTAAAATATCAGAAAATGGGGAAAAAGAAACAACATTCACAGAACAAAGATAAAAGGTCTTGCACAGCAGACAAAATTGTATAATGTGTATGCTAAAACAGAGTGCTTACTTGATAAAGAGATGTTGGAACCAGAGTCTCATAAGGTTCGTTTAGTGTGATCACTCCACGAACACCAATTTCCTTTAGCCTTGGAACATCGGTAGGGAATGGAACAGCACCTAACAGTATAAACTGGGAAAAGAACATATTAGAACTAGTAAAACAACTGTGCTCCCTATGAAGAGCAGTAACAAGGCAGATTCTCCACAAACATGACTCTCATAGCTTTCATGAACATGGATCTACCAATTAAATGAACAAAACACATAAGATAGGTTAAAAGAAAAAGAATATCAGGAGAGAGTTAGTGACATTAAGCACTCTGCAACACTATACTTAGAGGCTTTTACTAAGAAAAATTTTGAATAAAAATGTTAACATTAGCCAGATTACTTAAAGACCACATTCTACTTCATTCTTTCAAATGAGAATGTAATTTATGTGAATGCCAGCAAGCACCGACATCAACCAAGTTTAGAAGAAGTTTTTCTTTAGATCCATCTATGGTAGGGAGAGCCAGCCTCTGGCTGTGATTCCACCTCAACCTGCAATTTCCTTTTAACTGGAGCCTTCTCCTCTGGGTCCAGAATAGCTTCAGTGACTGGACTTCTACAGATGTTCCGTTCACTCTGCAGGCTTTTCTCAGACTTGGACTTCTTTACCACAGGCACCCATTAACCAACTGGTGGTACAGGTACTTTCACCGTCTTTTTCTTCTGTGTCAGCCCCACAACATTAACATAAAAGAAACCCATATGCAATAAAAAATTTCATGATGATGTTAATGCCAGTACATATAATCAAGCAATCATCCACGTATCCAAACAAACATAGCTAATAACCTGAACAATCTAAACACAAAGAATCATCTAAAATGCACCATATTCCCAAGCAAGGTTAATTAACAAGCACTTCTCGAGTGCATAATAAAATTCAATTAAAACCATATAATAAAACAAGAGAGCATTCATATAATCTTAAAAACTCATCATCAACAATACCAATTACTTAAAATGCGCAAGTCATGCTCGCAAGCTATACCTCATCAACTCTATCCCACCACCGGAACTCAGGCTGAATCTTGTTCCTAACAACATTGTAAAGCAAGGTCGGGTAAAACAATACACGAGCTCCTGCACCAATCAATACCCTTTTCGCATCCCGTTCGACAACGCTTCTTTCGACACCCAAAACCCCACTACTTCCACCACAACTCTTATTTCCTTCTTCTCCTCCAGCTCCAATCCCTTCCCCTCCCTTCAATTCCTCAATATACATAGCCCCACAACTCGATGCAAATAAAAGAAATATGCACAAAATTAAAAACCCTAATCACCCAATTTACAGAATTTGGTAAAGGCAGAAAAAAACCCCAAAAAATGAAATCTTTACATTACACAAACCCTAAAGCTTGGAATTTGAACAGGAAATTGAACAAAAGAAGAATTTTATAGAATTTTATTTGGAAATCAAAGTGTTATGATTTCTCAATGAAATCACCACCCTAATTCGAAGGAACAGGGTCAATCGAACGGCAGGAACAAGCAAGAGACGATGTGGCGTGACCGGAGAGCGATTGATTGCCGAGAATTGGAGATCGGGTACTAAAATTTTGCGCTTTTGGAAACCCTGACTCTGAAATTTTTTTTTTTTTTTGTAAGAAATTGTAAGAAATCCTCCGCTTTTTCCTAACAAACTTTCAAAAAGAAAAACCGAGTAAAAAGATGACGAAGGCAAGAAATTATTTTTATTTATTAATTATTGATTTCTTGGTGAGGGAAGAGACATAAAGTGACGGAATATGGTTCAGAAGGAGTTTGTGACAAATGGCTACAGAGATGACACGTGTCGAACTGAATCTGGGAGGTTACGTCCGTCTGAGGGGTAACCGACAAATGTGACACCAATAAGTTGATTTTATATAAACAAATTTTTCTCAAAAAATAATAATTGGGATATTTTTGGGTGAAAAATCACAATCTTAACTACCTCACAAAGAACCAAAAAAAAAAAAACGCGATGTTGTATTTTTATTAAAATTTGTTTATTTATTTATTTATTTATTTACATACATAATTGATACAAGCACGAATTTATTTATTTTTTATTTTTGAAGACATTATTATTCTTAAATTTCAAAGACAAATTCCACCTGGAAAAAATATTAATCTTATCCAACCTTTATTTCCTCAAATACCTGAAGATTGAAATGAAGATGAAAGCAATGATGTCTCGACTTAAAAATATGTTAATGTTTAAATAAAAATGAAAGAAAAAAAAAAAAACCTTCTTAAATGATGTATTTAATTCGTACCAAAAAGAAAACAATGACAGGAACATGGATATAAAGCATCCTTGTAAGAATTTTAGCCCATCTAATCAGAAAAGCGAATGCAAATAGCTTGAAAACAAAATTTGCTGAGTACAACAAAGAGACAATGAGATGTGGAAGCTCATAGTTCCTTACATCTTTTTTTTTATCGAGGCAGACGGATTCTTCGAGGATTTGTCATGAAGAAAACAGAACACCAGGTTTTGATGCATTGCAACTTCCAAATGAATAAATCAATTGGGGAATTTCTTCATTCTTTCCATCTGCCTACTTACATATAATTTTTTATAACCCTAAATTTATTTTCTTTTTTTTTGCTCCAGGATGAATAAAGCTTGTGAACCACGTGAAACATCGCAAGTTGTGCAGGCTAGACTAACAAAGATCTCAGCAAGGTTCCCTATACAAGTCGCTTTGGCCTTCAGGATTCACAAGTTGGGGTAATCAAAATGAAAAAGATTAGTAGTGTAGATTGAGATTTTAACCCACTATAATTATGTTCTCAGGAACAGGCTTGTAATTATGCAAGATAATATTTGAAATGAAAAAAAAAAAAAATAACATGAGTAGACGTAATTGAACAAGAATTGAGCAGCATGGAACCTACTTACAACATGCCATATAACTGGAAAATCAACAAATTGATTACCTGTATTCTCATTCGACCAGGATCATCCTGAATAAAATCCTGCATTTCCAAAAAAAAAGACCATCATTCACTTCCAAGTTGCGCACTTGTTTTGAGGATTATAATAATTCTTGGCTGCAGCAATGTATGGTAAGAGTAAAAGCATATGCTGAAAGTCTTAGATCGAGATATTTCTCCTCTTTGATTAAGTTTCTTTTTACATAAACCATCTAGCACTCGTCCCTGGCGACAGATCTCCTTAATCATTATAGTAATTGCAATGCTGTCAGGTTCGTAACGCTACTTGCTAACATCTTCCTAAAGAGCTTCTCTGCCTTGTAAAGTCTATTAACTTTGATCAAAGACACCACAAGAGATCTAGCTATAGCAAACACCACCGAGTCACCACCTCCAGCAACAACTTTATCAATCACTTTATAAGCTTCTTCAACATGTCCATCGGCACATAGCCCTTTGATCAGATCAAGTCATAACTGTTACACGTTAGGAGCACACTCAGAAGCCACCATTCTATCCAAAATTCTCAATGCCTCCATTGCCTAACCCTTCTCGCAAAAGCTTTGGATCACATATGTATAGAAATGATTCAAAACTTCAGTTGAACAAAATTCTAATAACAGAGAGTTCAGCTCCTAGGACATCAAGACAAGCTTAGAAAATTAGGACAAAATGTATAGTTTTAACATTACCTCACCAAATTACTGAAATTAGTGGCTCAAACACTTCACTTTTTATTTTTTAATTTTATTGTCCATATATGGGACGAAAGACAAAATAAAAGTGTAACCCCAAACAGAAACTGGTAGTTAAATGCTTTGTATGACCAGAAAGGAAGAGGGAATCAGATCCATTGTCGACAAATCTTTCCAACACACTTATCTTTTGGTCCACAAATTTGAGAAAAGAAGGATACCTTATCATCATCTTTCAATTAATGAGGATATCTATCATTTCTTAAATCTTGCTTAAATTAAAGTAGCCTGTTATTTGACTTTCATTGGATTGGTTGGGCAGCACTACGCTCTCTTCGCACGCCTGTTGGATGCTCAAATCTTTTGAAGCATGTGGGAAGGGTGCATGAACATGACTCAACCAACGCATGGAATTGCATGGATTATTCTCAAAGTAACAATTTGTTTACATTGAAAAGGCTACCCCCCTGTTTCAAGATAATCATTTTTTAGTTAATCAGCCATAGAATTTTGTTCATGATTTTTAATTACAACATTGGGTGAGGTTTGATTACTACAAATCCATGAATGATAGGTACTTGTTGCTTCCCTGGCCTGGGTCTAATTCCCTCTCCGAATAATCTTAAAAACGTACTTCCTTGTTAGATGTTGATTTGAACAGGTATTAAAATTCCTTTGAAACTTGTTTTTGCTAACCTAAACCTTGTCGTAAACGTAATGCACTCGACGACTAAAAATGCAACTGCCTTCTGCCAAGTAGATTATCATCCAATTGCCTTCAAATCTACAAGAAAATAAATAATGTTATCACTTATCAGTTAGAGGAACCAGAATATTCCCACATTGCCACCATTAACATCCCCATCAACCAAAACCAGCTAATTATACAAAATAACACTGAATTCCACTAATTACTTGACTCAGCTTCTCCCTTTATCTATTCAGCCAAAAATGTTGACAGAATAATACATGCAAGAAAGCTAATAAGAAAGCAAAGAAAGGAAAAAGATGGTTGAACCAGTTCTTAGCTTCACACAATAAGAACATATTGCTGCTTAGAGTTGTTCTGTTATTTGGACAGAATCATTGGTCAATCTCTGTCTGAGATCTCTCTTGTCCCATTTCCATGATATACAAAATAAAGTAGAAACCCCAGTAATTTTCTTCACAAAAAAAAAAATGATATTTCTATATATTTTTTTGTTATTCTCTTTTACAACCAAACTTTTGTACATATATCAGATGTAACAAAGTGTTTTATCTGCTAAAAAACCAGTACCATCAGAAATGATCTAGACAAAATTCACAGGAAAAGAAGAAACATGTTTGAAGTAGTACAAATTACTATCATTAAAATAGTATGAAACCCAGAATTTTCTTGGTCAATTAAAAAAGTTTTGCATATAAACATTGTTCCTTAACGTCCTCAATCTCATATTGTAAGGATGTGTTAATAAAAAATAATATATATGTAGAAATTTAAATCTAAACTTGTGAAGTGTTTTTTTTTTAAATAAAACCACGAGACTTTCTGTTCAAAGCGGACAATACATCATAAGTTAAATATAGATCTTCACAAATTATATCAGAGTAATCATTAATCAGCGTGAATTAAGGTATGAATCTCTACAGTTCCAATCTTACAAATATGCTGATGAATTGATGATGAAGAAATGAGTAGCTTTGGTTTCTTTCTCGTTTACTTTTCATTTAATTTAAAGGATGATTGGTTATTAAATTAAAGTATATCCAAAGCCACTGCGTGGCCCTTAAGAGCATCAAAATATCAGGTTCCAGATATGGGAATAGAATGAATGAATGAATGCAGAATGTAAAGAATGGAGTGAATACAAAGGAGATCTCAGTTTAAGTTAAATCTCAACACCTAAAATTCTTCCTCTTATGTCAAGCTATGGCCTCTCTCATAAAAAAAAAAAAAATGAATGGAGTAAGTAGACAGACTAAGAAAAGGATTCCCTTCTCTCCTAAATTGCAAACACTCCTTTTCTAATTCTTCAGTTTTTTATGAACTCCACAAAAAGCTAGCGTACGCAGTCCAAAAGAAGAATCCTAGCTATCTTGACGCAACCCATTTGGCATTTGCCCTTTGCCTTATCCCTAATCCCCACTCAGATTCTTTTTTCTTTGTTTTTCCCCCATAATTTTGTATTTTCTGAAATACAAGGCTGAGTCCTTTTTTTTTCCCATGGCTTCATTACTAAATTAACAAAGCATTTCTCAGTGTATATAGTTCACTCATGCAAGGTTGTCAATCAGAATATGGGTTGAGGTAACCTTGCACATGAAGTTATTGATTGTAATGGGTGTGATCTAGGTAGCACCAGCTCTTACTGGACCACTGGACCATACTTTTTCCGAGCTTTTACAGAATGAAAATGTAAAGCAAAAGGAAATGGATGATTTTATCAAATGCAAGTGTTTTAGATTGAGCAAAGTCTGATTTTAACCATTTGAGATTGCATTTCCACCTAGATTCATTTCTTTTTATCTGAATCATGAGTCACCATGCAAAACCTTCACCTCAGCAACAAACTCAACCTTACCTTTTACCTTTTTGCCTCCATTGCAGAAATGCCGATTCTGCCTTAATAAAATGTATGTAATGAATACCAGTTTTAAATCTAGAGACTTGAAATTTTTGAGAGATCTCAAGGTAAGATCCTGCTTTTTCACTTGCTAAACAAGCATGACCTGTCTAACATCTTTTTCAATTAGACTGTGTAAGAACTCATTGCAAAGATTACAAAAAGAGGATCACTGCTCACTAGTTATAACTACAAGGCATCTTAATTTTCTTAATTTTAAATGTTCATCATGTCATCCCAACTCCATTAATCCAACCATCTTTGCCTAAAAAGCAGAAAAGAAAAGCACCGGAAGAAAATTGAGTCAAGAAAAGGCTATACCTCAGGCTAATATATAAATAAAAGAAAAGCATTAACAGAAAGAAAGGGGCACTGAGGCGATTCGTGTCATTTGCTAGAAGAACCGTTAAAAACTTAAAAAGGTAAAGCGACCGAAGGTTAGCTTCAACTATGCTCACTTCTCCGACGTACTATCTTCCTCTCTCTCTCTCTCCACTATTCCTTAACCCCTAAGTTTTCTTTTCATCACCACCTTCATCTCCTTATTATTTAGCACAAACCAAGCTCAAACAAAACAAAAACCTCCTCTTTTTTTTTCTATCTTTTTTCTTTTTCTCTTCTTCAATGGGAGATACAGACTTCTACATCAAACAGCAGCAACTAGTAAAAGAACAAAGGCAAGCAAAGCCGAGTAAGTACCACACACGGTTCCTTTACAAAGCTCTCATAGTCATAATTTTCTTGGTAATAGTCCCAGTGCCCTCACAAGCACCTGAATTCATCAACCAAACTCTACTCAACAGAAGCTGGGAGCTTCTGCACCTTCTATTCGTTGGAATAGCTGTCTCTTACGGGCTTTTTAGCCGGCGAAATGATGAAACAGAGAAGGAAAATAATAACAACCAATCCAAGTTTGATAATGTACAGTCTTTTGTGTCTAGATTCCTTCAGGTGTCATCAGTTTTCGATGATGAACCTGAAAACTTATCTGGGTCTGATGACAGCAAGGTCAAGACTTGGAGTAACCAGTACTATAGGAATGAACCTCCTCTTATTGTAGCTAAAGAACAAGCTGTTCTTGATGAACAGAGAAGTTCTAGTTCTAGAGTTGCGGAAAAGCCATTGCTTTTGCCTGTTAGGAGCTTGAAATCGCGTGTTTTGGACGCGAATAATCTTGAGACAAGTAGGGAAAATAGTGCAAATTCTAGCTCTCTCCGTAGGCCTAATTCTAGTTTGAGTTCCAAAAGGTTTTCAAATAAAGTTACAAATGGAGAATTGGGACGATTGGGTCAAGAAACTTTGGTGGAGAAGTTGAATGAGAATAATGTTGTTCTTCCATCACCAATTCCATGGCGTTCAAGATATGGAAGAATGGAAGTGGAGGAAGATATTGAATCTGAATTCAATAGGCTTAAATCTCAGTCATTTAGGTCCCAAACTACTCGTTTGTCTCGAGCCAGCTCCATGCCTTCTTCACCAAAATTGTCCCATTCACCACCTCTATCTTCACCAAAGAAGTTATCTCCTTCTCCTTCTTTGTCAACGGAAGCACAAGCTATGAGTGTGGAGGATTTAGTAAGAAAAAAGAGCATTTACAGGTTTCCACCACCACCTCCTCCACCTCCACCAATGATTCACAAATCATCATCACTGAAACCAAGTTCTTCCTTGACTGATGATGAGGTTTCCTTTGATAAGGATTGGCCTTCGTACTTTGCAAGCGAAACAAATGACTTGAATGGAAGCAGGGGAGACGCATTTATGGGGAAACAAAGGGATTATGTTGATGGTTTCCCCGAGGGAAAGTCAGTTAGGACGAGTCGGCCTGGTGATTTGCTTCGTGGAACAGGGAAAGACGGTGAAATTGAGAATGGGATCAAGGGCAAGACAGTGAGGTTTGATCAAACATCATTCAGGACTGAAAAGCTGAACCAAGAAAGTGTCTGTGTTATTCCAAAGCCAACTTTCGTGGAATTTCCGCAGGAAGACAAACAAGAATTTGTTGAAAAGTTGGTGGTCGAAACTACTGATGATGACTCAGAGAGTGAGGACGAGGACGTTGGTGAAACTTCCATTGTTTCAAGCATTGAAAGAAGTCCAAATAATGAGGAAGCGAGTCCGAGGAGTGGCATAGATGGAGGTTCTGATGTGGATAAGAAGGCAGATGAGTTCATAGCCAAAGTAAGAGAACAGATCAGGCTCCAGAGGATTGATTCTATTAAGAGATCGAGCGGTCAGATGAAGAGAAATTCTACGAGGTAAAGTTGAAGAGACATCAAGCATTAAAGGTTTTCACAGGCTGAATTTTTATTGGTGTTTACACTTTTTTTGTCCTTTTCTTCTGCTTCTAGCTTTACTTGATTTAAGGGCCTTTTTGCATTTAAAGTCATGGTATACAGAGATAGTCTTGGTTTTGCTTTTATGTAATCAGCAACTTTATTGAAGAATTGTTTCTGTTCTTCAACTTGTTGGCTATTGTATCTTCTGCAATGTTCTAATTGAATAGGAAAAAATAATCTTTTTCTCATTGCATTTGACGTAGCCTGAATTCAGATTATCAGCTGCTCAACCGGCTAATGATCACAAAACATCTAGCTTTTTCTATGTAATTTCTGGTTCAGAATATATGTTGGTTTTTGAAATACAGGTGTCTTGTTCAATTATTACATTCTTGAAATACTTGAGAAGGCTATTAGTATTAGGCTGCTAAGAAGCACTTATCCTTGAAGCTGTTTTGAATATGCTCCCTCCAGTTAATAAATCAGGCTGATCTTCTGCCATCCATTCTAATAACAGCCATCTCACTCCTGGTGCCTACGTCCTAACTGCTGCATCCCCTAAACCTCGAAGTAATTCCCACAGCTAGCTTCTGTTGCATGGTGTAACTAAAATTCAAAACCTGTCCTGCTTCGAGTTCCATGGTTTATTACTACTTCTAACCAGAAGCAGTCATTCATATAAAATTTTGGAACAACACCTCTGTTCGAAATCTGATAATTAACACATCAACTTCATAAGAATGGAAAGCAAACCAATACTGCCGGATGATGCAACATCAACCTGTATGAGTACCGACCTATGAAATTTTTTCTTCTTTCTTTCCATCACAATACCAAACCACCTGTCTCAAGTCTCAGCAAAGCATGTATTCTTTCGAAGGTAAAGCAAAGAAGCCGAAACTTATATAATTTGGATACCTTCTACAGTTTACATAACAGCATTTGCAATGTTGACAGTATCAGTTTTGATGCCAAATAGGAAATTAGTGCACCACCAAAAAGAAACGGAGTCTCGGAATATTGAAGCGAATATAATAAATATTCCTTACATATTTCTCCAGGCACAGCTTAAAGTCGATGTTTGGTGTGAGATAAACTACATACCCTTCAATGCTGCACAACCCTACTTTGATCCGAGCCCAGTGAACCCTCATACAGAACAGGACCGACAAAAAACTAGCTGAGAAGGTTCTGAGTATTCTAATTGGCCCACCTTTATGTCGGTAGGGTTAAGCATTGGAAGAGTAGGCCGAATTGACCCAAATATATTTCAAGTGAACCAGAATAAATACTTCTCATTTAGTGGGCTTTCCTTCTTAACGGACCTATCAAAACCTAAAATATCCCTTCTAAAATTCAAACAACATTGGAACTTGAAGTTGAAGACCTAACTCTCATCCCCAAAAGGACCATAGCCCACGCCTTTTGGGAGGTAAGGGTTCAAATTCAACACCTCACTCACTTGTAACACTTCTTGCAAATGGGGAATATATGGATCGTATGTGGTCTTTCTAGTAAACCTAATAATTTTAGACATAATATGATAATATTATATAAAAATGATATGAAAAAGATTATATTTATATATTTTTAAAAAATATGTTTTATGTTTATTTGTATCTACACAAATTTTGATATGATATAATTCATATCGTGTATGTGTTAACTCGTTTAAATACGTGACACGATATAAATAATATATTTAATTTAATATTATCATATGAGTATACGTTTAATATATTTTTTATATTTAATTTAATATAAATATATAAATATTATTTTAATTTTTAATCTTTTAATTATGATACTTAATTAGTTATTTAATTTCATATAAAAATTATTTTAAATATTTAATTATGATGCTCATTTAATAATTATTATAAAATTATTTTTTTATATTAATAATATAAATACAATATAAATATTAATATTAGTCCTAAATATTATTATTTTATTATTTAATCTTTAATAATTTATCGTTTTGAATTTGATACCAAAATTAATATAGTTATGTAATGTAAATTAAAATTAAATATATATATTAAATACATATTGAATGAGTATTAAATTTTTTATTTTTTTAATATATAAGTATTTTTTATATTATTAATATGTCAAATTTATTAAATTATAAATGAATATTTTATAATTTTTTATTATGTTAATCATGTTCTTGTATATATTCATATTAGTTGTTTTCATTCGTATATATTTATATTAATCATGTCTATTTATTTAAATCTATATTATTTATATTTATTTGTGTTGTGATTAAATAAATTAATTATACACATATTATTCATATCGTATCACGTGTAACACGTATATTAAACATGTCTTATTCGTATTTAATATTTAAATATATTTTATATTTTGTGTTGTATTTATATTTTAATAATTTATATTATTACATGTGTTAAATATAATATAAAATACGACACAAAAATACAAATTATATCATATCTATCATCTATAGAGCAATATTTTTTTGGTGGAAATCAAAGTGCTTGATAGAGCCTGAATTTTTAGCAGAACAGGCTACTGTGAAAATGAAGATTCAAGCCTACAGCTCCTGCAACACAATGCATTTTTTTTTCCAACTTTCACAGCCGCTTATGCCCACACAAATTTGCTTTTCTTGAACAAATTCCCAGAGCCATTAAATTTATTCTATGGCATATTCTAAAGCAATAGTCACAACAAATTGACGATAAAAAAAATTCCTTCAACTCGGGGCATTCACAATCAGAAGGGCACCCCAACCTCTGTTGAATCAAGGAGAGAATCAAAACTATCCAAAATTATGCCAACTCTTATGGTACACTAAAACATTATCTGGAGCCCTGTGCCCTAGATTTCAGGTTCAAGGCACACACTAAGGACCTATTCTAGGTACATGAATGTGTCTGCAAGCACATAATCTAGTCGGAGGGAGGGAAGCATGTAGCAAAAGATTAAATAGAGAATCGAGTCCATGCAATTATGGCTAAGCTTTTACATGACTTGACAGTGAGTGCAGTGAGATTTTCTCTTGGTCCATTAAAAAAAAAAAAAGGTACACAATATTGTAGTACCTGAAGTTATTTTAACACAATCCACTTATTTACAGGACCACGGAATTATTGTTGTGTTTGGCATAGTCAGAAGAATATATGGTTTCAATGTTCCTGAATTCTTAGAAAGGAAAGAAGATGATGGCATGGTATGGCATGCGACTCACAATTATCATCCAAGATTCCCCATTCTCATTCCCTAGGGCTTATGACACAAGATCATGCTAAAGGAGGCCCATCCCAATGTTGGGTTTCTTTCTCTTCTCCACAGTTGAAAACAAGTTGAACGTGTTAAACTGTTCATCCACGGTTTCCTCCAAACAGGGGTAAAAAAAAAAAACACAATGGGGGCTAATGTTTAGTTGATTATATATGGAGAAAACACCTCTTGAAATTCCGATTTAACTATGTAATGTTAGGTCAATTACTATTAAAAAGTTAAATGTTCGCTTGTTATTCTCTTTACAGGATCAATCAATTATAGTTAAACTGATCAGATGTCAGTCATACTCATAGGCCGCTCATAAAATATATCTGAGAAGAATTTTCAACTCCGCTTACCCGAACAGATGAAGAAGAAAACCATGGGGTTCGTCACTTCAAGATCTTTTCTCTGTAATAGCCAATGCAAATCCAATCACATCAAAAAGATACCAAAAGCACATCAGATCCATCTCTCCAGAGCAGATATACATCTTATTAGGCTCCCTTAAATGATCTTATTTCTTTTCCCACACATTGAGGAATTACCCAATCACAAAAAACAAAAGAATTACTCGTACCTAAATTTTAGATTTGGGTTCATCATACTTTGTTAGACAAAGTAGCTTTAGACATGATTAAAGTATATTTTTGTGTCAAACAAAATGTTCAAATGCTTGGCAAAGACCTCTAAAATTAGGACACCATGTTTGGAAAACCATACTCAAAAACAGCTGTAATTTGTCCCCACACAATCCCCAAAACTCTAAATTATAATGGAAAATACAAAAAGAGAGATTCTTGTAACTTGAAATTGGAATTTGGAACACATGATTTGGTTTAAAGCTTTGGTCAAATTTAATAATTAGACATTGCACTTTACACCCAAAGTTCTCTTCCCCACCATTCAAATTGATAGAGGAAGATATAATTAGCATCACTGATTAACACCAATAATTAAACTAATTAAATATGTCAACCTTGGGGAAAGGAAAAATAAAAAAGGATTAGATGGGTCCAATAATACAAAACATCTAGACCCACCAAAATCACATTCTAACCACCATATCTTAGACCTATGACCTTTGAACAAGGGACGGGCACTACGCTACGGCACTGTTCTCCGTACTATTGATGTCTTTTTTATTGACCAAAATGCCCTTGTGCATATGTTCTAATTATGATCGAGGACGAAGAGCATCGAACGGTCCATGAGGCATGGGGGTAGCAGCGGCCCAAGGGTTAATGGGGATGGGCCTGTGGTGGGTTTGGGCAAGCTGAAGGCACCGTGGATCAACGGTGGATGGTGCGTTGGGTGGGACCGCCACCCTCTCACATGATGGGCACATGGTGAGGGTGGTTGGTGGGGTCATTTGCATGTAGAATTGCGGGGAAAGTTTCAGTGCTCTCAGCTCCTGAACTTCCTTCTGCAACCGCCTGTTTTCCTCCGTCAGATTCTCACAGCATCTCTTTAGGAACTCACAGTCAACCTCCGTTTGCTTCAGCTTGGTCCTGCCAAAAGAATTTCGAGTCCCATATTTAGTAAATAATGTTAAACTAAAAGGACAAAATTGTCACTTTGAATAAATTTCTAAAATTCTAACATTGCCCTTAAAAAAACTGGTAGGAAATCTCTTACCTCGCCCTCCTGTTTTGGAACCACACTTCGACTTGTCTGGGTCGCAATCCCAGCTGCTTAGCCAAGGCCAATTTTTGCTTCTGCAGAGAAAAAGGTCATCGGTTTATCAGTATAATTACCAAAATACCCTCCAAGTATTTTCTGTGTGGTTACTAAGAAAATATGCCCTCAAACAAGTCATACTCAACGACCCATTAGACTAAATGCCCTTTTTGACTTTTCCTCCACTTTTCTCAGCAACCAAACAGACATTTTCAGCTCAAAGGTTCTGTTCCAATAACTTACAGGATTGAGAGTGTTGTGTTCTTTGAAGCTTTCCTCAAGAATAGCAGACTGTTCTTTAGAAAGTCTAAGCTTTTTTCTTGAAGTGTCACCATCTTCTTCGTCACTGATGCCACGAGAACAAGCTCTTTCAATCTCAAACTCATCTCCATTACCTTCCCTTTCGCTCCTTTTTCCACTTACACTCGATATCGTGCTGTTTGGAGATGAAACTCCAGCTTCTTCTTCACAATCGACCGTAGATGGCAATCTGTTCACGTCGATTCCTCTAAGAAATGATCTAGTCTCGGCCCGGAAAGATTCTGAATTAGGATCTGCATGCAAAGACTATACTTTTCAGATAAAAAGGTTGGAAATCTTGTTTGAATACTGAAGAAAAAAACTTATTTTTGAGGTTCAGATCTAGAGAAAAGTAGCAGATTTAGAGGCTTTTGCATGTGAACATGAGAAAAGTGCAATTGAAAACGATTGTCAAAAAAGCTACATCAAACATGAAGAAAAGGAACAAAGAAAGCAATAATTTTTTTAGGTTGGGTTGAATTTAAAAGCGATAAAAAAAATGATAGTAAAGTACTAAAAAAAAGAAAATAAATTGATTCGTTTACGCTTCGTTTGGTTCTCGGGAAACCAAAGGAAAAAACAAAAAGAAACAGAGATCTGAGGGGTGATGTCCCATGCAAAGACAGAAGAAGTACCACAAGAAACATACCTGACGCAGCAGAGACATCGTTCCATGAGGGTTTCTGCAGGGCTAAACCAAATGGAGAAGAGCAAGAATTAGCAGAGGTTGGAACCAGAGAAGGCCTTAGATTTAGCTGTAAAGCGTGGTGATTCTGAGGGTAACTCAAGCCCAGACTCAAACCCAGATCTTCTTTTTCCACCATCATTATTTTCTCTTTTGCCAAACACAGCTTTTTTCTTGTATGGTATGAACAAAGGATGAGAGAAAGGGTGAAGAAAAGATTTGGGCTATGGGAGTTCAAGAGAGAGAAAGAGCTGAAAGCACATGAATATGTAAGAAGGGGGATACGGGATTTTATAAAAAGCAGAGAATACGAGAGAGTGGTGTGTCATGTTCAACCATGACTTGTAGTCAGGAGGCCAATTATCTCAATCATGGCTTTTGCTCCCCAACAAAATAATACCTACCTCTGCTCTTTTGTCTTCCATCTTTCCCTCTCTCTCTCTCTCTCTCTACTTTTTAACCATTTACTATGGTAATGACCAAAGGGCAAAACATCTTTTTATCTACTGTTTTTACAAATTATTTGCTCGGTCTTTTTGCTAAGTAGTTTGCTAGCATGTTTACTATCAAAATACATAGCTCATGGATTTTATATAAATTTTGTAATTCGTTTATTATATTTATTTTATTTATTTGGTGTTAAATATATAAAATATAAAAATTTTAATATTATAATATATATTATTTTATATTTATCATATTTATATATAATTTTATTAATTTTAAATTATATATTTTTATATTATATTATCACATTATATTTAAAATTATCACATCCAATCATAAGTAAGTTTTGTCTTCAACAATACTTAATTGTGTTATTGACAAAGTTCACTTTTTTTTTATAAAATAGTAAAAGCATAAATTTATTTTACGTTACAATCATACAAATATTACATTTATATAATTAACTAATCAAATTTATATCATAATTAAGTTATAATTATTAAATAATAATTAATAAATTATAACATAATTAAAAAACCAAATTCATAAAACTTGAATTTAATATCTCAAGTATATAGAACTTTTTTCGCATCATTAAACCAATGACTAATTAACATAAAAATATAATTTTAATTACAATATCAAAATTTATTCCATTTTATTATATGCCATTTATACTTTAACCCATTAAAAATGAAAATTAATTTTACGAATTTAATTATATGAAAGTTATTACAAAATTTTGACATGTTATCCTTTCTCACATAATTACGTACTCAATGGTGAAAAGGTAAAAGGAGAAACAAATATTTCAAAGGGATTAATGATAAAATTATTTGTTCTAAGCTAGCAATCGAGTAAATTATGGAAGGAGAAAGATACAATAATGATTTTCTAAAATTTGTTGGAAGGACAAGGGTTTGCTTACCTAATGTACAACCAAAATTTGGATAAACTTCCATTTCATGCAACATTGGAATGGGGAGTGGCACATTTAGCACGCTTTGGTGACAAATAATGCATCATCACGGCATGATTCACAACTTTGACTAGTATAAATTTAGAAAATAAAAAAATAATAATAATGCTTTAATTGCATTAGTAATCAATCTCTAATCAAATTTTCATAAGTCAAAATAAGAATCTTCAAAATACAAAGACATTACGTAACCTACACATTTTATTCTATTTTTTCATGATGATAACTTATATTATCTATTCAATTAGATATGATCATTTAAATATATATATATATATATTAATGCTGAAAAAATAAATAAAAATTATATTTAAAAAAAGTTATCAAAAAATCATATATGAATTTGATAAAAAATATATTTTTTATATTTAATATATCAATACAAAATTATGATATAATAATTTTCATATTTTAAATGTATTTAATAAAAAATAAATTACATAAATGATTAAATTTATATTAAATCCTAACATAATTAAAAAAAATGTCATTAAAAAATTAAGATGATCAAATTAACAATCATTCTGTTACATATATAACATAATTTTAATTAAATTACTATAAAGAAATTCCTTGTGGGTATCAAAATTTTAAGTTTAGTAATTACTTGTGAAAGAATCCTAAAAGAGTAAAAAGAAATGAGTGAGAAAATAATATGGAAAAGGAACGTTGAAAAACTATATTGTCCTATAATTAATGCAGTATACATTTTGCCAGCCCCAAACCAACCTAAAATTAAATGCAACCAGATTTACTCTCCAAATTTGTCTTCCGAATCCTAACCAGAAAGAACAGGAAATTTCAATAATATTATATAACTTATCACGATGAATCTTCTGCATTCAAAAGCCAGTGGGCCAGAACCCACCTGAACTCCTCACTCTCCATGCCCTTCATGCCGCTCAACCGACGGCCTTGATCCCACTTCACATCATTATCAACGGCCCTCATCGACCCATTGCGGGGGACATGCTATCTTATGCTGTATATAATTGGAATCAATGCCACTGATGCTTTGGACAACCATCAAATCATGAGTGGATGGTGATGATTGAAGCCAGACAGATAAACTTCCTTTTTTCTCCTCAATTTTTATGGGTTATACAGTGGGACCCCCTTCTTATCTTTCGAAAAATCTCACCTCTGACCTCTCCCATGCGATTAGCACGAGGGGGGGGGGGGGAAGGGGGCTACTGAGACAAAGGCGTCGCTTTCTTAACCTTTTCTATTAAAACAAAAACGCTTTCATTCCTTTTCTTCAAATGTTGTCTGATGCGCATCTTGGACCGTAGAGTTCACACTCGATAAACGAATGGCTTGGATTGATCGCATCATGGGGAGACGAAGCGTAATCGTAACGCAAGAAAAAAGTGCTTTGGCTCGGAGGAGAAAGAGAAAGTGGTCCTTTAAACTTCTTGGTATGTAACTTTGTTCATGCGGCTTGGTGGCTGTGATCTCATCGGCTTCGTCATGATCAGCGTAACATCAATTATTGATTTTGTGATAGACATTTTTACATTGAATTACAAATAACAACATATAACCTTACCATAAATCAATACAATAAGAAGTTTAAAGAAAAAGAAAGGTGAAGTATGTGTGTACCTAAATGACTTGGCTCAATCGGCTGATTGAATGTTTAGCCAAATCAAGATTGAGTAAGAAGCCGAAAGAAAAAGAGAGGTGAGAGGTATGTGTGTGGCCTGTGAGGGAGAGGGGACAAGGGAGGGTGGAGTTCACGTGGGTAGAGGGGTCGCGAGAAATAAGGGGAAAAGGAAAGCGTGGAAGAGAAAACCTCTGTTAACTCACATGGACCAACATGTCTTGCCTGGGGACACGTCCTCTATTGGTCCCACTCCCTTCGCTTCTCTTCTTACCCACACGGTTGTGCATGTCCGTTTGTCCCTTCACGCCCGACAACGTTCTGGCTCACAATCATTTGAAACTCCTCAGACTTTTCCTTTCCTCCCCACGCTCACTCTTCCCTCCTGCATACTACCGTCCCCTCACTCACCACTTAATCTCCGTAGCCTGAATCCACGCGCTGTGGCATAGGCTTGGGATTCCTCCATGATAACCGTTAATTGTGCGCCTATCTGTGTCATAATTCTCAATTGGCCTATCTGAATCTCCAGGTTTCATGCAACTTGGTCCCCCGCCAGCAGTATACAGTACCATAGTGGATTATATAATCAAAATTATACGAATGCCTTTTATCCCAAATGACCAAAAAGTCCCTCATATACGTGAGCAAATCATTAGGTGTTTATTAATTTGAAAGTAGCATGCTTTAATCATTGCTTAGGAAGACTAATAATTTCCTTTTCCAAAATTTTTACTTTAAATATCTCTCTCCCCACGGTTGCATCAGGGGTTGAACAGGGCAGGTGATCCAAATAATTGGTTAGGACTGTGTCATGCAATGGCTCGATCCCTCCCTTTCTCAACTTGACCATCAAGGGCTTTTCCAAATAGTACCTCCTAGAACATCAAGGGCTTTTCTAAAAGGTACCTCCTAGAAATCAATCATATCAAGCTTTAGCCAAGCACATAATGGAATTACTTTAAAAAACTAGCGGCCAGAGAAAAATAGTAAAAAAAAAAAAAGGACAAGAGAATGAAAAATATAATAAATGTATAGTGATATTTTTAAAAAATGTAATTAATAAAATTTTTTTGCATTTGATAAATTAATGTATTAAATGTGAAAATTTTGTAATATAATATGAAACATCTTCTATTGCATCGTACTGTCCATCCAAACATATTTTATAATTATTAAGGCAAATCACATCACCGATATTAAATATTTTTAGATAAAATTACTTTTAAAAAAGAGAGAGAAAAAAGTAGTAAACTTTATAAAGGTCGGACGTGAAAAATAAGCTTTGTCTAATATTGGCAACTTTAAAAACACGATAAGAAATTAGCATGAAATTCAACAATGATGACAGATGAAAAGTTGCAACCATTATCATGATGACAAAAAACTATACCCATTATCAAAGTATTATGATTTATGATGGAAAAAAAGGGCCACGGTTGAATGGTAAGATGGTATCATTATTTGTTTTGACTCTTTTACTTAATTTTTGGTTAAGACAAAATTAACCAGCACATTCTAGGGAAGAGGATAATCATGTCAATTTGCCAAATTGATGCATATTGCTATTTAAAGGGGGAAGAAAAATTTTTTTTAAACAAATTGATAACCATATGTACTTTTTTTTATGCATGTATATGTTTCACTAACACACATAATAATTGTCAATTTTAGTGTTTTGGACTTTCTACATTCTGGCTTGGCTCTAGCCCTAGTATAGACTTTGAATGCCCAGATCCATCCTTTGCCAATATTTTTGCTGCAAATGAGTGTTTTTTTTTTTTTTAATTTGCACATTCATTAGTTTAATCTTAACCCAAAACTATGAAATATAGTGAATTTTGAAAGACAACCTTACATTTAATTATTTTCATTAATTCTACTAAAGAGAATTAAATAAATTTTTAAAAATATTTTCCATGTCTTTGTTGAATATTATTGCTCATTTGTTTTGATGATGGTGATATTATCATAAGATGTCAACATAATTTAAAAAAAATAAATAAAGCTTTTCATGAAAAAGAAAATTGGGAAAAGGATGAACGTTAAATATGGCAAGCCTTCAAATCATAAATAAAAAGAGATTCCCTTAAACAATCAATTATTAGTGTGACTTGGGTAAAACATCCGTGACCTTCCCGGAACTAAAAACCTAGTCTGAGGGGATACTGTTTTAAGGAAATGATCAATCGGTTCGAAGTGGACAATGACAGCGTGACACCCAATCCAAAACAAGGAATTCCAAATCTAGTACCCCCAATATCACCTCACGCGCCCCGACTTCAGACAATCAGAACCCTTGAACGGATCATCCCAATGCATTGGACGGCTGAGAAATGACTGTG